TTCAGTCATACTACTAAAAGGGAGTAGTGGTGAACCACGATTATTAGAATTAGGCTTTTAGTTCAGGCCATAAATTTCAAAATTTGGTCAAAAAGACAAGAAAAAAAAACAGAGCATTGCAATCAGCTGAGAAAATGTTGCCCGAACCCTACCTGTCCGAATGCAGGGTGTCTACTGTAAAGTTAGGCAGAGGAGGAATAATGCTGCAGGTTTTCACTCCAACAAAGCAGGAACACACCTGATCAATTGTTTAAAGACTGACCAATTAATTAACCAATCAGGAATCAGGAATCAGGTTTTTTTAGTGAAGACCTGCAGCCTCACCGGCCCTTTGCAGATTAGACTGGGCACCTCTGTGCTTCAGTATACTGTGACATTCTGTGCTTTCGACTTTGTAGAAAGTTGCCCGACTCCTTCGTGCTGCCTGGTGCTGACGCTGATTTGGCAGAGGCAGCCAAATTATGAGGAGCAGAGAGGACACAGTGAGTAGACAGACAGATAGAGAGCTGGAAAGCTTGTGTGGGAAGTGAAGCCTGAAGGACTAAAAAGTCAGAACAGAAACGAATGAACGATTGTTTTGGTTTTGTTTGTTTTGAAAATGAAGTAATAGATCTGCTGCCACCGCTGTCAACCCTGTCTTGAGCTTCCTTCTTTCTCCCAAGCAGCACATGATTGCGCTACTGAGATGTTTGAGCATCCACATGCTTTTGGACATGTGATGTACATTGATTTTATCAGCTCCACTTACTATATAGGTGCACTTTGTAGTTCTACAGTTACAGACTGTAGTCCATCTGTTTCTCTGATACTTTGTTAGCCCCCTTTTACCCTGTTCTTCAGTGGTCAGGACCCCCATGGACCCTCACAGAGCAGGTATTATTTGGGTGGTGGATCATCCTCAGCACTGCAGTAACACTGACGTGGTGGTGGTGTGTTAGTGTGTGTTGCGCTGGTACGAGTGGATCAGACACAGCAGTGCTGCTGGAGTTTTTAACTGCACTGCTGTTAGCAATAAATTATAGCCTGATATTACCACATATTTAATCTTCTTGGAGCAAGACTATGAGCCAGTATGGGTCACTGTGGGTCAGAATGGGTCAGTGACTGGTCACCCTCCCCTGGCTGTAGGTACAGCACCCCCGTCAAATGTTTCAGCACCCCTGTAAAAATCCTGCCGCCACCCCTGGCAATACAGTATATATTCCAGGCTTTATTTCCATATGTTCACAAAATGAACCCAAGACAGACGGAGCTACAAACCTAGAGGTGAAACCTAGAGAGAGAGGAACACTAAACAGTAGACAGATTTAAGGAACTTCTAACACTTTCACTAACAGAATGAATGCCCAGTCACTTGGTAAGTTTGATTAATGTTTAATGAGGAACTCCACAATCTGTTTTCTACATTAACATTTTCTTTAGTCCAGCACCTGCAAACAGCACCTTTATAGGAAGACTGAAATCTCATACACATTCAATTTCATACACATTGCCTGTTATGACACTTGACATCTTCATAAAGGAAGTGATTGATTTTGAAACTTCAGAAATGGACTTGAGCAATGCCTAAAAGTCCAAAAAGGAAGTGTTTTTCTACCAACTCTACTAGAAAGCAAAAGTTCAAGAGCTCATAGCAAGAGAAAAACAGATATCAGGGAGGAGGATCTTAATCCTCCCATAAGGTCAAATATAAACATCAGGCTGATGTTCAAGGCATTTCATTTGTTTTTGCGAACCGCAGAGAACCTTCAGCTGACCTGCCCAAGACCTCAGAGGACGAGACCCCCTGAAACACGGTGAGTGTCAGAAAAACACAATACAAAAGTATTGTTAAATGAGATCATCTAAGGCAGGGGTGTCAAACTCAACCGCTAAAAGGGCCATATTAAAAAAATCTCAACAGATCCTTCGGTCAGAGGATGACCTTCATCTCCGTCACTGTTCGGGTGCCACTGCTGTCTATCCAACTCTCCGTGTTTTGTTTCATAATGGTAATTAATGCAGTATTCCTTCATTATGGCCACACCATCTCTGCAAACGAGACAGATATTGGAAGTAAAGGTATTTGAGCTCCGACCCATCTTGAAATTCCCAGCGTTTACTGTCCACTTCTCACTTTTAGAGAACTAGGTGTGTTTTTTTCTAGCTGGCTTAGTGTTTATATTGGTTGGACTGATACTGAAACTCAGCTAGTGTGTCTGGTGATGTGACTGATGTGGTAGGATTGAGGTGCCATAGATTGCTCTTGGGGGGAGGCGGGTTGGAGTGCTTTTCACGTTGCAGTGCATGTTGGGGATTGTAGTGCAGCACACTGTGAAATGGGCTATTAAAGGAAAATGGGTGAGGCAGGATCGTGCTACAGGCCTGACTTGGCCCGCGGGCCCTGTGTTTGACACATTGGCTCTATGGAGTAGAGGTCTAGAGGAGAATTCTGCCCAAATTACAGAGCCAATGTAAAACTAGCAGGGTGATCTCTAACAGTGAGGGAGTCCTTTGGTATCAGGTTGAACTTGAGAAGTAAAATTATTGTTACTACAATGAAATAATGACTGCAGTAAAAAGACGATGAATGAAATGAACATTACTTTAAAGTGCTCTTACAAAATGGTAAACAAAGCACTCCAGTTGCACAATTTAAACAGAGGTCAAATGACATGCACTGCTCATCAGCTCAACCTAAAACAATGACTTGATGTAGAGCCAAGCAACTGAACCAGTTTTATTCAACGCAAAAAATACTTTGACTGAAAGAATCGTTCATTCAAGTATTTATTTCGGTTAAATAAATAAATAAATAATAATAATAATAATAATAATAATAATTTTTTTTTACATTGAACTGACGAGCTGTTTTTTTACTGTGTGTTGCTGATTTTCTGAACACATCCTCCACAGAGAACACACTTCTGCACACTTTAATACACAATTATTTGTTATTTGCTGAATTTAACATATTTGAAAAAACATTATAAAAATGGTTTTATGGCTTGTGCAAAAGTTATGGCACATTTTATACTGTAGTGACCAGCTACTGGCCACGGTGCCACTGAGAAGTGCGGTGGGCGTGGCCATGCAGAGCGGCACTCTGTAAAAGGGGCTTGTGCCTTTCTGCCTGGAGCGCTACTTGTGGTGGAAATCGTGGCCTCTGCCAGGTCTCACTGCACACCAGTATGTTTTTCCAGTATGTTAAACTCAGCAAAATTGTGCACTAAGTAGAAAATAGAAATTGTGCACTAAATTTTGTTAAAAAATGCCATATTTAAGTGTGTCTCTGTAGAGGACATGTTCACTTATCTTAACTTAGGTGAAACATAATTTATTCGGGGTCCCAGAGAATGAAAAGCGTTATCTGGCATTTCTAGGTTGAAGTTTGACGTTTGGACCAGTAAACCAGCGTTTTATTGGGCCCAGAAAACCACCAATGTCAACTTCTGTGGACATTAGCGTGTAAGTCTACTACACTTAAGTCCACTTAGATTTCAGAATTTAGGCTACATGATATTTTAGCTATTTTTATCCAAGGATCACGCAAATGTGAATAAATATGTCAGCAGCTTTATTTAAACTGTACATTCATTAATTACAGGCTTAAACCAGATAATTTAGCAAATCCACAAATCATATTTATTTGAATAAAGAGTGGTTACATTGTCTGGACTAGGAGGTTTTACATCTGTGTAACTACATGGCTGAATTCCACAAATAGTCATATTTACAAGGGAAAAAAAGATTGTATGCAGTTTCCTGTTACAGTATTTTCCAGTAACACAATAAAACTAGTCTTATGAATAAAATATCCCAAAGCAAATGTTTGGACACCCCTGGCCAAATTATGTTCTGTTGATTTTCTAGGTGAAAATAAGTTAACACACTCTCTACAGAGAACACACTGAAATATGGCATTTTCTGCTAATTTTATTACAAAATATCTATTTATTTGCTGAATTTAACATGTTTTAAAGAGAATAATATAAAATGTACCATAACTTTTGCACAGGCCAAATCGAGTCAAGTCAAAGTTTATTTATGTAGCGCTTTTTACAACAGGTGTTGTCACAAAGCAGCTTTACAGAAAAATCCGGGTCCGAGCCCCCATGAGCGTCGCCAATGGCGACAGTGGCAAGGAAAAACTCCCTAAGAGCAAGAGGAAAAAACCTTGAGAGGAACCAAGACTCAAAAGGGGAACCCATCCTCCTCTGGTCGACACCAGATAGCAAACAGCTTTAGAATAAAATATTAGAATACAAAATGGGAAAAAAACAGGTGGAGCAACGGTTAATCAGATAGTCTGAGTTTATGCAGCAGCAGCAGCATCAGGAGGGTCAGTTCATGCAGGTGAGGTTTGAACAGCTTTGTACAGCATGAAACTCCATGGTGGTCAAAACGGTGCAGATCAGCCAACAGAGATGGAGCTCTGGTGACTATAGCAGCTCTAGTGGCTTCCATGTGGCGACAGGACCCATTATGTGTTCTTGTTTTTCCCTCAATATATTGAATTCAGTAAATAAACAGTAAATGTGCATTAAAATGTTTTCATTTAAAGTGTGTTCTCTGTAGAGGATGTGTTCACTTCTTTTCACTTAAAAACATGTCATTTGATCAGGGGCACACACATTTTTGCACACTAGTGTATATGCCCCAAATATTACCCCAGTACAGTGGAGCAAGGGGGAGCTCCTGTTTCTCCCACGGAGAGAAACAAATTTGATTCTGGTTTAAGCAAAACTTTGTAAAATAAAACTAAGTGAGAAAACAAAAACAGTACAAGTGTCCTTTTTTCCACTTTTTGAGCTGATTGCTCTAATGTCGTTCAGCCCATTAGGGCGAAGACACAGCATACTTAGCAGAAAAGGCACTTAATCTGATGGCACCTAAACATGTTACATTAACATGGAGATAAACGCAAAATTTAGCTTCCAGGGTAACATTCATCACGCAGTGAAAGCTAAACCATCAAAACAATAACTGCTAGCAGTGGTAGGACAGAAAATTAGGGCACTTTTTACTAAGTTAAAGTATATTTTTAAGTATACTTTAGGTGTAAGAGTAGTAAACTTTGAGTACATAACTAGTTTACATCTAAGTTTTAATTTGTACTGCAACTGTATTGTGAACTACACTAAAATTAAACTTATAGATATACGACAAAAACATAAACCAAACTAAACCTCTCATTTTTTCAAGCTCTTTAACTTTTTAGACCAGGCTCTCTCTCTCCCCCCTCCACGCTGGAGGGAGCCAGTCTTTTAAAGTAAACTATTACTCTAATAGTTTTTATACTGCAAGTATACTTATGTTTTTTTTTAATTAACTCAACACTTATAGTTTATTACTTATATATTGTTTTTGCACTGTAGAGGTCTGCACTACCGTGGGTCCAGGTGGACCTCTACACCCGCCACAGTATTTTGCCGCATGGGACTAATTTTCAGTGTTGTGCCCAGGAGCGGGCGGGACACCAGCCCACTGCAGGCGGGAGCGGGACTACTACTGGAACTACTGGAACCAGTCCTGAAATGAATACCTGCATAGGGGGAAAAGTAAAAAAAAATCAAAACACAGAGTTTGAGTTCACTTGAATGCCTCTCATCACCTCTTTATAGTAATTTCAGGAAATTACTTTTTACATAATTAAGCAATCTTAGCAAGATTGTTATTGTCACTATTGTCATTGTTACCATTGCTGTTTCTGCTACTGTCATTGTCAGTATTGTTTATGTATTGTTACAGTTACTGTTATTAGTGCTATTACTTAATTATATAAGACAAGATAAGATAATCCTTTATTTGTCCCACAACAGGGGGAATTCACAGTGCTACAGCAGCAAAGGGATAGCAAAGCACTCAAGAAAAGAGTAAGAAGAAGTAGACAAACAAGGTATTAACCTTATTATTTATTTAACAAGGTTACAGTTTGTCATTTATTGCCATATATTCAATATATATAACACTAAAGATAAAAAATATGAACCAAAGATAAAAAATACACTATATTGCCAAAAGTATTCACTCACCCATCCAGATCATTGAATTCAGGTGTTCCAATCACTTCTATGGCCACGGGTGTATAAAACCAAGCATGACACCATGATAGGATGCCACCTGTGCAACAAGTCCAGTCGTGAAATTTCCTCCCTACTAAATATTCCACAGTCAACTGTCAGTGGTATTATAACAAAGTAGAAGCGATTGTGAACGACAGCAACTCAGCCACGAAGTGGTCGGCCACGTAAAATGACAGAGCGGGGTCGGCGGATGCTGAGGCGCATAGTGCACAGAGGTCGCCAACTTTCTGCAGTCAGTCGCTACAGACCTTCAAACTTCATGTGGCCTTCAGATCAGCTCAAGAACAGCGTAGAGAGCTTCATGGAATGGGTTTCCATGTCCGAGCAGCTGCATCCAAGCCTCACATCACCAAGCACAATGCAAAGCGTCGAATGCAGTGGTGTAAAGCGCCGCCACTGGACTCTAGAGCAATGGAGACGTGTTCTCTGGACTGACCAATCACGCTTCTCCGTCTGGCAATCCGATGGATGAGTCTGGGTTCTGGGAGAACGGTACTTGTCTGACTGCATTGTGCCAAGTGTAAAGTTTGGTGGAGGGGGGATTATGGTGTGGGGTTGTTTTTCAGGTGTTGGACTCGGACCCTTAGTTCTAGTGAAAGGAACTCTTAGTGCTTCAGCAGACCAAGAGATTCTGGACAATTTCATGCTCCAAACTTTGTGGGAACAGTTTGGGGACGGCCCCTTCCTGTTCCAACGTGACTGTGCACCAGTGCACAAAGCAAGGTCCATAAAGACATGGATGAGCAAGTTTGGTGTGGAAGAACTTGACTGGCCTGCACAGAGTCCTGACCTCAACACGACAGAACACCTTTGGGATGAATCCACCTTCGCGGAGACTGCGAGCCAGACCTTCTCGTCCAACATCAGTGTCTGACCTCACAAATGAGCTTCTGGAAGATGGTCAAAAATTCCATAAACACTCCTAACCCTTGTGGAAAGTCTTCCCAGAAGAGTTGAAGCTGTTATAGCTGCAAAGGGTGGGCCGATATCATATTAAACCCTATGGATTAAGAACGGGATGTCACTCAAGTTCATATGTGTGTGAAGGCAGACGAGCGAATACTTTTGGCAATATAGTGTATAAAGTCTTTCCTTCACAAAAATGAACATTATAAACATTATATATAAAAGAGCAAAAGAACTTTTACACTATAGGGACATTTTACACGTATTGCACATGGAAAATTGCACAAGAAGTATTGCACATGAGGTATGATTATGTTTCACATGGATATGGTGATGAATTCACAGTTTATGTTCTGTAGGCGTGTGAGGTCTAATGGGGGGTGGAGGAGGTTCTACTGGGAGCAGTGCTGGTTGTGCAGTCTAACAGCAGCAAGCAGGAAGGACCTGTGATGGTGCTCCTTCACACACTTGGGGTGAAGCAGGCTGTGACTGAAGGAGCTGCCCAGTGCTGTCAGAGTCTCATGCATGGGGTGGGAGCTGTTCTCCAGCATGGATGCTAGTCTGGCTAACATCCTCCTGTCTCCCACCACTTGCACTGGGTCTAGGGGGCTACCCAGGACAGAGCTGGCCCTCTTAATGAGTCTGTCAAGTTTCTTCCTGTCCGCAGTTGAGATGCTGCTACCCCAGCAGACCACTCCATAAAAGATGGCTGATGCCACAATGGTGTTAAAGAAGGTCCTCAGGAGCGCCCCCTGCACTCCAAATGACCTCAGTCTCCTGAGCAGGTAGAGTCTGCTCTGGCCTTTCCTATAAAGTGTTATCTGACCTAATGTTATCTGACCAGTCCAGTCTATTGTTGAGGTGAAAACCCAGGTACTTATAAGAGTCCACTCTCTCAATGTCTGTTCCTTGGATGTTCACTGGTGGAGGGAGGTGACTGCGCCTGCGGAAGTCCACCACCATCTCTTTGGTTTTCCCCGCATTGATCAGGAGGTGGTTCCTCAGACACCAGTCAACAAAGTCCTGGGTCAGTTCTCTGTACTCTCTGTCGTCCTCGTCTGTGATGAGGTCGACGATTGCAGTCATCAGAGTCATCAGACAACTTCTGTAGATGACAGTTCGATGAGCTGTACATGAAGACTGCCATGTACAGGGTGAAGAGGAACGGTGCCAGGACTGTTCCCTGTGGGGCCCTTGTAACACTGATCACCATGTCAGACACACGGTCCCGTGCCCTCACATACTGTGGTCAGTTGATGAGATAGTCCAGAATCCAATTTGATAGGTGGTGATCCACCCCAGTGTTCTCCAGCTTGTCCCTCAGGAGCCCAGGCTGTATGGTGTCAAAAGCACTGGAGAAATCAAAGAAAATGATTCTCACAGTGCTCCCAGGCTTCTCCAGGTAAGAAAGAGCTCTGTGTAGGAGGTAGATGGCAGCGTCATCCACTCCAATGCCAGGTTAGTAGGCGAACTGAAGTGGGTCTGTGGATAAGCTCACCAGAAGGCAGAGATGGCCAAGAACCAGCCTCTCTAGGGTCTTCATCAGGTGCGACACCAGTACCACTGGCCTGTAGCTGCTGAGGTCCTTTGGATGCTGCGTCTTCGGTACCGGTGCCACACAAGATGTTTTCCACAATTGTTGTACTCTTGCCAGCTTCAGGCTCATGCTGAACATGTGCCCAACTATTCCACACAGCTCATCTGTGCAGGATTTAAGGAGCCTGGCACTGATGCCACGCGGACCCACAGCGTGTCCTCGCCTTGATCTTCCTGAGCACATTTCTCACCTGGGCTGTTGTAAAAGACAGATTTGAGCAGGGGGGTTGGGTGCTGGAGTATATGGGTAGGATGAAATGGTAAAAGGGATGAAACAGTTACTGGTTTCACAGTAAACCATGGTAAAACCCCTGACCATTAGTGTCGCCATTTCAAATTTTAATTATCATTAAAACCATAGTCAATTACAGCACTTTGAAAAATGCATATTAAACACTGTGCAGCACCAGCCAAAGTTAGCAGCAGTCTCCCAGAGGCAGGCGCAAGCGCAACACGCAACATGGGTTTGTTATGTGTCAGAGGAAACTCTGGAGATTTTTCAGCCTTCTAAGAGGACTGAGCCTGAAGTGTGGGTCGTATTTTAATAATAATAATAATAATAATAATAATAATGATAATAATATTTTGCTATGATTTTAATAGTCTGATGGTAATGTACACTATTTGGGTGGATTTATGGGGAATATTTGCGGTAGTCCAGAAAACCTGCCCATTGTTTTTTACGTTCTGCAGCCTAATCTTTCCTGGCACATGTCTACTAAATACAAAGAAACTGTGGCCTCAATAAAGTGCCATTTCTAGGGGCTTGTCAACTATGTGTTCTGAAATCTGTGGTTTTCGTAAAACCTATTGACTCTCACTGTTAAGCATTCCTGTTTATATTAAGGGATTAACATGAAAAATAATGAAACAAATAAATTATTTCTTAATTTTTTAAAAAACAGATATGAGTTGAATGGAAGATCCATGGATTCCCCTCACACAAGACAGTGAATACTGGGCATATTGTTTTATTTCAACAAAGTGTTTTGTGTTCCCTTTCTTCTTTTCATTCTGGTTTCTTGCCTTTTGTTTTCTAGAAAGCCGCCAGAATGAGACAAAGACTGCCCCTCGTCACACTGTCCATCATCCTGATCGGTCATGTCAGCTGTGCGTTTGGGGTCGTATTCAATCACTACACCTCCTACTACGGGAAGCTTTGTGGTGACACCTGTGGACTGCATGGACAAAACTACTACTGGTGCAACACCAGACAGGGCTGGGATTACTGCTCTCCAATACAGAACAGAGATTATACAGACAAAGCTTGTCGAGATGATCATCCCTGTGGAAAGTATGGTGAAAGTTACTACTGGTGCTATAAGGAGGGCTGGTTTGCAGGCTGGGGTTACTGTGGGCGAGTGGAACCCAAGACAATCTTATATGTAAGTTCAGAGTACCAGCTTGTGTGCAATGATGACTGTTCATATGATGAGTCTTCGGAGTACTACTGGTGCCACACTGACGAAGGCTGGGATTACTGCTCCCCAAAACAGAATGTCACGTACAAAAACGTTCCCTGCCGGTCAGACCACTTCTGTGGTGCCCATGGCTATAGATACATCTGGTGCTGGACAACAACATCAGAGTGGGATTACTGTGGGATTATTAAACCCGGCGAATGTACGTACTGCTCCACTCAAACTAAGAACAGTCAGTCTAATAACGCAGTGGCGTTCTGTACCCGGATAGACAGGGGAAATAATGTAGTAACCACTTTCTACGCTGAGCCAGACCCTACAGCATTGGCAGATGGCAGCCCTTGGAGAAATGAGATAACAGACTTAATTGCCCGCTGGGACAATGGGTACTTGGGCAACCAGGCCAGATCCAACCTGATCACCTCAACGAATCTCCGCATTGATCTACAGGCGCTGCCGTACAAAGACGGTCAGCAATACTATAACCTACAAATCCAGCTGAATGTCCCCCGCCGGCCTGGGCAGAGCACCACGGTCTCCCAGATCCTCATACCTAGGGACAGTACAGTTCCAGACAGATATGTCCGATTTGCCTTTGTGGAGAGCTTCCGCCGTCGGGCCAGGGTGACCGTGAGAGTAAACCAAGGCGAGATCAAAAACGAGTACTGTTCAAAGTAAATGTATTAAGGATTGAGTTCTCTGTCAGAGATTGAATGTTGCAGAATTGCAGGTACACTGTAAATAACAGCTGTAAATTTACAGTCACAGCTTTATTCCTTACATACAGTAGATTGTCGTAAAGAATGCAGGTGCACTTGGGAGATTACATTCTTCTTATCAGATCATTTAAAATTCAGATTTCTTAATAATTAATTGTAATTTGCAGTGTAAGCTGTGAAAGTGGGTGGTACTTTGTGCAGTCTTGAGCAGCCTGTCTCCTAAATATTGTAGAGATGGTGGCGGGGCTTCCCAGTATTCCCTGTGATTTTGTCTGTTTTTTTATTTATCTTGTTATTCCTTGAAGATATATTTGAATTAGTTTGACATGTTATGTTTAATCATGATGGGGTTTTGTGTTTTGGTTAACTAGTTTGTGCAATATTAAAATGAATGTATATTTCACTATTGCCCTCTTTGTAGTCTTAATACAAGGTATTAGGTGCAGTAACTGCTCTAATGTGATGTTGAGTTCATGGTGTGATTAATATGCAGCACCAGGTCTTATTGTAGATGCTATTTAGGAAAACTTCAGCCTCCCTGCTCAAGAAGCACCTGGGTTCGATTCCCCGGCCAGGTGACTAGGGTGACTTTCTCTGTGGAGTTTGCATGTTTTACCTGTGTCCCACAGTCCAAATACAGGCCAACTGGACATGCTAAATTGCCCCTAGGTGTGACTGTGTATGTCTGTCTGTCTGCCCTGTGATGGACTGGTGACCTGTCCAGGGTGTTTCCTGCCTTCCACCCGGTGAATGCTGGGATAGGCTCCAGCACCCAGAAAGATAAGCGGCTTAGGAAACGGATGGATGGATTTTCGCGGCATGTTTTTCTTTACTTTTAAGTAACTAAAACTAAAAAATACTACAATATTAGCAGAGTTTAAGTACAACATGCAGCATCGCATCAAATATTTTTTTCAGAGAAGTCATTAGGCCTTTGCTGAAAATCTAGAATATAACACAAAGCTAGTATATCTTTTTTATTTCATAATATTTAGTTATTTCATAAAAGTGCATCTGCTCATGTATCAAATGTGATCTGTTACTTCAAAAGAATGAAGGGGTGAGAGAATATAATCATATTATGGATCTGAAAACTGATTTCTGTTCCAGTCTGATGACTGGAACACTGCAATTGAGGTTATAAATGGCTTTGCGCTTTTTTAACAGGCAGAGAGATGTTTGCTTCAGCCCTGCCCTTATCGCTCACTAGCATTACAATATGTTGTAATACGTTTTATCAGTGATTGCATTTATGGTAATACTTTCTATGAATGTCATGTCCATGTGCATCTATAAGCACACTTATTACAAGTCATAATGCATTTATAAGGCATTATAAACATGGCAATAAGTATTTCTAAAAAATAATTACATTTTATAGCCACATTTATTATGCATTATAAATTGCCAACATAATGTATTATAAGTAGTGTTAATAACATGTCAGTCAGTCCCAGGTTGCAGAGTATAAAGTCAAGACAAATCCAAAATATAAGTTTATTTACACCATGACATTTCCAGTATTTTATTTCTCACTGCTGGTGTTGTTAGGGCTGCAGCTTTGGGGCTTCAGTCCTGAATATTCAGATGCCCCAAACAGGCTGTCTAGCCTACCATTATTACTACTATGCGCTTTCTTTAATCAGCACTCTCACTTTAAAAATTACATCACAGAAAAGCAATTACCCATCAGACCCCTCCCCAAACCCCTCTTTGACATCACACTGAGCATGAGGTCAGTGTGGAGTGAGAGTGAGATAATACAGTGATATCAATCATTGTAGTTTGTTCCCTCACTGTTTCTAAATTAACCACTAGAAACCTTCACTTTGTAACATCAACTCAAGCTGGTGAGCCTGCTGTGGATGACCACACTGGCAACTCACTGACACTCGTACACGGTAACGATAACCTGAATACATGTTATCATGCTTTGAACAAATAATGGTTTAGAAACTCAAGATAATTCACAATCAAAATACTGCAGCACTCCATTTTTTAATATTTATTTGGTAACACTTTCTATGAATGTCACCTTTGTAAGCATCTATAAATGCATTCATAACGTTATAATGCATGCATAAGACATTATAAACATAGCTATAAATATTTATAAAAATGCATTACACATTATAGCCATGTTTATTGTGTATTATGAACTGTTAACATAATACATTATAAGTACTGATCATAACAAATTATAAGAGCTCATAAGTCGTATTTGTCCGCTGTAAGTAAAGTGAAGCGTACTGTACTGAAGCCTCCTCCAGTGTTCAGAGTGAGGCTTCAAGTTGAAGTATTTACTGACGGATTTACTGAAACACTAAAACATTCACAGTAAAGCACATTACAGGCTTCAAATGTCAGAGTTTAAACTAGAGCTGCCATCAGTGTTTTACCCAATGTGGGAAAGGTAATGTACACCACCGTTAGCTTGGTATTTGTCTTTACTTTGCAGTCTCCGAGTTAGGACTGACTTCTTTGGCACTGACATTATAACATGTTATTAACACTATTTATAATGCATTATATTAACAATTCATAATGTATAATAAAGTATAATGGCTATAAAGTGTAATTCAGTGTAATTCTTTTTTATAAATATTTATAACCATGTTTATAATGCCTTAGGAATACATTATAACATGTTATAAATGTGTTTATAGATGCTTGCAAAAGGTGACATTCACAGAAAGTGTTACCATTTATTTTAATGAACTTTAATACAAAAGACCATTTAAAATGGGTGATAATAAACAGGCTGAAAGCTATAACACAAAGAAAACAATAAGAGGAAAAAAAGAACTGAGGAAAAAGAATACCTATTTACATATTTAGCACTCCATTTTTGACAAAATTGATTTATTTTCTGCAAAAAAGACAGAGTCTGACTCTGTGCTCATTTCAGAAAGCCCGCTTTTTACAAAACACTCAAATCCTGAGGAGTAAAATCACGTCTCACCCACAGTTATTTCCTTCCCAGGTATCCTGTTTCACTCTGAAATCCGTCACTTTGAGGAAGAAAATTGCGATTTCCATTTCACAGTGACTTTAACCCCTTTTCACAGTAAACATACATGCAATTTCAGTCTGTTTCGGAGGTCCCTCAGCTCAACCTTAGAATTATGTGGAGCTTCCTTAAACTTTTAGTCACACATCTCATTAACAAAAAAGCTTTCTTTCAGTCCCCTAAGTTCTACATATAAAACACTGTGTCCACTCACTGTCCACTCTATTAGACACTCCTACCTTGTCAGTCCACCTTGTAGATGTGAAGTCAGAGACGATAGCTCATCTGCTGCTGCACAGTTTGTGTTGGTCATCCTCTAGTCCTTCCTCAGTGGTCACAGGACGCTGCCCACAGGACGCTTTTGGCTGGATGTATTTGGTTGGTGGACTATTCTCAGTCCAGCAGTGACACTGAGGTGTTTAAAAACTCCAGCAGCACTGCTGTGTCTGATCCACTCGGACCAGCACAACACACACTAACACACCACCAACACATCAGTGTTACTGCAGTGCTGAGAATGATCCACCACCCAAATAGTACCTGCTCTGTGAGGGTCCATGGGCGTCCTGACCACTGAAGAACAGGGTAAAAGGGGGCTAACAAAGTATGCAGAGAAACAGATGGACTACAGTCTGTAACTGTAGAACTACAAAGTGCACCTATATAGTAAGTGGAGCTGATAAAATGGACAATGAGCAGAGAAACAAGGACAGTGGTCATAATGTTATGCCTGATCGGTGTACATGTTAAATGGCTACAGAACATTTAGGGAAGCCTATAGATGACTGGAAGAACGTAATGTGGTCACGTGAGACAAAAATCTATTTTTTCAGCAACAATTGTGCTATATTTGAAGGAGAAATTCTGCATTTGAACCTAATAATACATACAGTGCAGGTAAGAGATGGAAGCATCATGCTATGGGGCTGTTTCTCTTCTCATAGTACCATGCAATCCAAATTGTCGAAGAGAAGATGACTGGAGTCATGTAGCAGGAGATTCTTGAGAACAATCAGTTGCCATCCACCAGGACAATGAAGGTGAGATATGGGTGGAACTTCCAGCAGGACAATGATCCAAAACATGCGCTCAGTGGGCTCCACAGGGTGAAAATAAAGGTGTTGGAATGGTCCACTAAAGCACCAGACTTAAACCCAATAGAAAATCAAGATTCACCAGCATGTCCCCCAGAAATCTTCAAGATTTCAAAGACTGTAAAATCCCACCTGAAACGCTGTGAGAGGTTAGTTTCTTCAGACAGATTAAGATTAAGTGACCCTTATTAGTCCCACAACGTGGAGATTTCACCTCCGCATTTAAGCCATCCGTGCAGTGAAACACCACATACACACTAGTTAACACACACACTAGGGGGCAGTGAGCACACTTGCCCAGAGCAGTGGGCAGCCCTATCCACAGCACCCAGGGGCACTTCATTCATGTAGTGTCAGCTCAGGGAGATCAAACCAGCGACCTTCAGGTCACACGGCTGGTTCCCTAACCTCCAGCCCACGATTGCCCCCAAGACAGGAAGCATCTTGAAGCAGCCATGGGAAACAAAGGCTTCTCCACCGAGTATTAAACACATTTCAGTTAAGAAGTTCAGCACTTTTTTCCTGTGTCATTCATTCATTTGTACAAAGCTAATTTACTATGTGACAGGCTAATAGGCTACTTTCTGCAGTGGGGGTGTTCACAAGGTATTCACAGATTCACTGTGCAGGATGTTCTCATGATCCTCTAAATATGGAGGAGTCAACTCTCACGTACACTTACAAACTTGAGTTTGCACGTTTGAGTTCAAAGCACACTCACACAGTCGTCCATCTAGGGGTGCAAACAGCTCCCCACTCAGTAATCGAGAGGGGGGCCTTGTTAATGTTCAGTCACTCTTACGGGAAGAGAGGTTCATGTGTAATGATTAACATTCCTCGACCTGTGGACATCGCTTTAAACATTAATGATTAAGTATTCAGAGTTTTGATGTTTACAATGAGTATGTTATGATCTATTTCAACCCAAAGTACTCGTTCAGATTTAATAAGCTAAATATATAATCGCTGCTGTCGGAACAAAACCTCATATCTCCAAAACGGTAACTTTACAGGAGGAGGAAAAAACATACATTACTTTTAATGTAAGTCAATGGGACCAGACTTTTTTCCAAGTCATTTTTGGCCATTTATTTTGGTCCATGCTTCATGAAATTTACACACAATATAAAGGCCAACATGCATTTTCAAATTATGTCAAAAACTGAAAATACAAGGTTTTGTTCTGACAACAGCGACATGTAAAATGTCCCTCATCCCTACATTTACACCTGTGAAAATAACTTACTTTTGATATTTTTACCCCGATTTTCTACCCAATTTAGTCGTAGCCAATTCCACCCCGCTAGTTAGGACTCCCCCAATCACACGATGCTATCAATGCTAGGAGGGTGAAAGCTAACACAGGACATAGACTTTAAGTCTGCAGGCGGAGCTTTATTTTAGCCACGCCCCTGCATTTTGGAGCAGGAAGTGAGGCTGCATCCCTGTCCCTCATGGCCACATGGTGAACAGTTTGATCCATTGATTTGAACTAAATGTGTCCCAATGTCTGAAAATCAGTGTGGAACATTAATAATTGTCGCTATTGAAACATACTTTCTGTAATCAAGTAAACATTTTTGTGTTTGAAAAATATGATGATTTTCTGTGTGTACAGCTGTTCAAAGCTGTGTGTACTGGCTAGCGTTTTTGAGTTCTCCTCAAAATGAGCTAAAATTGTCATTACTGAAACAGTCACTAACTAAACATCACTTAAATAGAACCTTTCCAGCAATGTGAAGTGGGCTAAAAGTGGTCTTAACAAGCAGCACATTATTGAAAGAAATGACGTTATTTGAATATATCGGTCTGGAAAGGGTTACAAAGACATTTCTATGGCTCTGGGACCACAAATGGAGAAAATCTGGAACATCTGTGAATCTTCCCAGATGAGGCTGGTCTACCAAAAACCCTCCAAGAGCCCTGTTACGACTCATCCAGGAAGTCACAAAAAGAACCCAGGTGAACATCTAAGGAACTGTGAACTTGAACCCCATTGAGATGCTTTGGCAGCACCTTAAATGTGTGGGCGGAGACTTATTTTAGCCACGCCCCTGTATTTTAGAGCAGGAAGTGAGGCTGCATCCCTGTCCCTCATGGCCACATGGTGACAGTTAGATCCCATTGTTTTGAAGTAAATGTGTCCCAATGCCTGAAAATCAGTGTGGAACATTAAGAATCGTCACTACCGAAACACATATTTTTTGCAGTTCAGTACTTTTTTAGTGTTTTAATGAAAAATATGATGATTTTCTGTGTGAACAGCTGTTCAAATATGTGTTTGCTGGTCATGTACTGGCCAGCCTTCTTGAGTCAAAATTAGCTAAAATTGTCACTGAAACAGTCACTACTGAAACATTTGGTAACATTTCGGTAGTGTTTTGGCTGTTTTGGTGCTGAAAAAATGAAATGTTCAATGATTTATTTTAGCAAAATAAACATAACTAAGATACAGGGTCACCCAAAGCAAAATAATTTTAGTCCAAGTCAGTTAAAAGTATGAAATGTGTTTCAGCTCTGACTTTGAGCCAATTTGTTTTGGAAGCGAACTGGATTTTCATCTCTGCAGCTCAGCAGCTCAGCATTCATAAAAGTGTTTGCAATGTGTTTAAATGATATTACTATATTGTGTCTATGATTGATACGAAGAAAGCTGCAGTTGCGTCATCTGTTTTATCTGGGGGCGATGGGGTCATCTTTGTGGAGAGGTGTGAATTGTTCTCTCAGCAGGGGGTTCGCACTCCTCCCATTTCACCCCTCATTGCTCACCAGCAGCTCAACACAGCATCACACATAGAGAGCCAAGAGAGTCCCAGTTAATCTGACAACAGTTACGGGGAAAATATTTGATTTGATCACATTAAAATATCCGAGTCGATTTCCATTCCACTGGCAGAATGACCAGTAGGGGGGTCTGCAGAAAAAGCTACTTTCCCACAATACCAATGTCACCAATTAAGAAAACAATCGACAGTTTCTCTTTAAGAGTTTATTCCCAAATAAAGGCCACCATGCTGGAATTTTTCATGTCTGCTTCACAATTACTGCATATTTTCCTAACACACTGAGCATCCACTGAGTCCTAGTTTGGATTCGGACTCGATCTCCTAGAATCCTCCGGGAGATCACCTGATTACTCACGTGACTTCTTGCTCCTATCAGCGCTCTAGATCTCCGGAGTACTAATGTTTGTCACCTACGGAGCCCCGCTGGTGACATCCTGTATAAAAAAAATTATGCGTGGCTGTGACTTAGTAATGCGTGGGAATGAGACGATTAAGTTGTGGCCACGGCTTAGTAAAGCATGGGAACGGGATCCTAATGCATGGCCACGACTTAGTAAGCCGTGATCTCGTTCCCACGCCTTACTAAGTCATGGCCACGCATCAGGATCTCGTTCCCACGCATTAATTAGGCGTGGCCGCGGATTATTTTTATTTACACAGGATGTCACCTGCAGGGCTCCGTAGTCACCTGTGTTGCTGGTCATATGACCTATTTAGTTTAGTTTATAAGCCCAGGCTTTAGCATAGGATGGTTGCAAGGTATTGTATCCATTTGCGATCTACTGAGTGGTCATTCCATTGTTTGTATTTTGTGTATGACCTTTGTCTTTCGTTTGTTTGACTCTGCCTTTTTCCTCTGCCCTCTGGATTGTTTGCCATTTCTTCTGACTCCTATTTTTTGACCTTTTTGCCCACATCCTCGACTACGCCTTTGACCTATCCTTTTTGCACTGTATGCACTGTGTTATGTATATCTGTTTGTATTTTCTATGCCTTTGGATTTGACCCCTGCCTGTTTTGTGACAACAAATCTGGACTGTGACTCTTTCAGTAAAGCCTCATTTGTGTTTTACATCTGCAAGCGTCTGAATCTGGTTGGCACGTTACACACACAAACATACACAGTCTACACAGTTTGGACTGGGGATTGGGTGAGTAAGCCCCGCCTCATGAAAGCATAACCAGTGAAATCTGACTTTTGGTCATGGAAAGGCAGCAGAAGAGCTCTGAAGTCTTTATTCACTCAGTCTTATTCACCGCGTTATTGCAGGTCTTCATCCAGCTGGCAACAACTATGTGAGTACAAACTGTGAAACTAACTTCTGTTACAGGAATTATATACAGTAAACTGTATTTCATCAACAGGCACAAGGATAAAGCTGTATTCCTTAATGTTGAATAATAAATCAGTAACACTCTATTGTACAGTGCACGTATTACAAACTAAGGGACAACGTAACTACAAGTAACTGACGGTTGAATTAAAGTGTAAAGTTTGGCAAATAAAACCAACACCTATTGCAGCATTACAGTAAATTATACTTCAGTATCAAATCAAAAGTATGAGGCCCAGATCCAGGGTCCAGCACTCCAGCAGTATCTGCAGTATCTGCACCAGCTTTTAAAGCATGTAACACACTTTCTGAGTGCATAGATTGGGCCTGGGGGGACAGAGAGACTGTAATCATGGGTCTTCAGACTTGTACAAAGGGACTTTTGATCTTATTCCTGGTTTCTAGAGCTGAGGTCTGTGGGATTAGGGCTGTGGCTGGATTTACTTGCAGTCACAACTGGGCCTCAGAGTCAGTATCCCAAACTCCAATCTACAGAAAAGAGGCTGAGGTCTTAGTGTGTAATAAGCCTGGGATTTTACTGGGTTAACTTAACATGAATTTGCCTCATACATTTGCTGGGTAAAAAGGAGGCAATTGGTTTCCCAGCTTATTTAAACTTAACATCTGTTAAAATTGACGTTGTTGGATGTAGTCATGGTCATCCAAATATCAAGAGGCCAGTGGTAATCTACATTTTTCAAGTTAACCAACAACTATTTGATAATATTTGATAAATTTGATGATAAAACCCAGGTTTACATACTAAGGCTTATTATTAGGTAACTACAGGGACTTCAATGCAAACTGGCTGAGGTTATAGAGGTGTGTGTAAAAAAAATTGCCATTTAATGGCCATTTAAGGGGTTAACCAAGAAATTAGTGTTTACAAGTCAAGTTTGAGATATATTTTAAGTACGTTTACTAGATGACTTTAAAACAATTTATTGTCACACCTCCAGTTTTCTTAACTTCATTATGGATACTCAGAAAAAGTGAGGCAGTCAGTTTAAGTACAACTCACAGCTTCACAACCTGACAACCTCATAGCCTCTCAGCCTGACAACCTCATAGCCTCTCAGCCTGACAACCTCATAGCCTCTCAGCCTGACAACCTCTTAGCCTCACAACCTCACAGACTTGTAGCCTCTCAGCCTCACCTCATAGACTTGTAGCCTCTCAGCCTCAGCCTCACCTCACAGACTTGTAGCCTCTCAGCCTCACAACCTCACTGACTTGCAGCCTCTCAGCCTCACAACCTCAAAGACTTGTAGCCTCAGCCTCATAACCTCACTGCCTCATGGCCTTACAGCATTGTGAAATTCAAGTAATGCCTATGAGAGTAAGAAACAAAATAAAGTGCCAAATTCAGTTTGGGCCTGCAGGACAGTCCAGCAAACAGTGAAGGTAAATAAGTTGGATATTGAAACACTCCTCAATTCTTTGCTTCTCAAGATCCTTCCACAGTTTGGAAGTTGAAAAAATGCTTTATTAGTAGTAAGCACTCTAATTTGTATTCAACAAAGTACAGTTATGGGGGAAAATGTAATGAGAGTAACTAATTCTTTCCACCTCTCAACCTCACAATGTGTTCTACATTCCTTACTTTCTTCCCTTTTTCAAGGTTCCTTTGGCTGTCCAGTAAGATCTTCTCCCACTCTGTGTGCCTCATCATTCTCAGCTGGCTAGGTTGCTCTGCAGATGAGGTCATAAAAAATTACTACACCTCCACCTACGGGGAGCTTTGTTATGACACCTGCCAAACGCATGGAAACAGCTACTACTGGTGCCACACCAGAAAGGGCTGGGATTACTGCTCTCCATCAGAGAACAGAGATTATGAAGGCAATGCTTGTCAAGATGATCATCCTTGTGGAAAGCATGGTGAAAATTACTACTGGTGCAATAACCAGGGCTGGTTTCCACGCCGGAGTTACTGTGGGCCAGTGGAACCCAAGACAATCTTACATATAAGTTCAAAGTACCGGCGTTCGTGCATTGATGACTGTTCATTTGATGAGTCTTCTAATTACTTCTGGTGCCACACTGATGAAGGCTGGGATTACTGCTCCCCAGTGCCTGATGTCACGTACAAGAATGTGCCCTGCCGGTCAGATCACTTTTGTGGCGACCATGGCTACAGTTATAACTGGTGCTGGGTAACAGAATCAGAGTGGGATTACTGTGGGGTTATTAAACCAGGTGAATGTACTTACTACTCCACTCAACGTAAGAAAAGGCAACCAAATAATGCAGTGGTGTTCTGTACCCGGAAGGATGGGGGAAATCAGGTAGAAACCATTTTCTACGCTGAGCCAGACCCTACAGCATTGGCAGATGGCAGCTCTTGGAGAAATGAGATAACAGACTTAATTGCCCGCTGGGACAATGGGTACTTGGGCGACCAGGCCAGATCCCAGCTGATCACCTCAAGCAATCTCCGCATTGATCTACAGGGGCTGCTGTACATAGGAGGTCAACGATACTATAACCTACAAATACAGCTTAATGTCCACCGCCGGCCTCGGCAGAGCACCACAGTGTCCCAGGTCCTCATACCTAGGGACAGTACAGTTCCAGACAGATATGTCCGATTCGCCTTTGTGGAGAGCTTCCGCCGTCGGGCCAGGGTGACCATGAGAGTAAACCGATGTCAAAACAATCAGTATTGCTCAATGTAAATGTAATTAAGATGCATCACTAGAAGCACTAGAAAGAACATAGCAAGTTTACTAAATGTTAGCGAAAAATCTTGAGTTTTCTGTCAGAGATTATATGCTACACTGTAAATAACTGCTGTACATTTACAGTGGAATCATGACTGTATTCCTAAAATACAGTAGATTGCTGTAAAAAAAATCAGGTGCATTTGGGGAGAAAGAGTTCATGCTTCTTGCCAAGTCAGTTAAACTGTCAGATTTCATAGTAATCAGCTGTGATTTACAGTGTATGCTGGGAAAGCGGGTGGTACTCTGCGCAGTCTTCAGCTGGCTTTCTCTTAATATTGTAGTGATGGTGGCGGGGCTTCCCATTATTCCCTGTGATTTTGTCAGTTTTTGTTAATTCACTTCTCTTTCTTTTATCCACAGTCCATCTCACAGGGGTTTTTGATTTAACATGTTCTTCTGCAAAGATACATTTGAATCAATGTGACATGTTTTGCTATTTTAACCATGATGGTGTCCTGTGTTTCAGTTAACTAGTTAAAGTACTAATAAAATGAATAGATATTTCACTATTGACTTCTTTTGTTTTCTTAATATATGGTTTTAGGTGCAGTAATTGCTGTAATGTGATGCTGAGTTCATGGTGTGATTAAGATGAAGCACCAGGTTTACCTGTAGACCTTGTTTAGGAAAGTGTTTTTCATCTCAACTGTCCTGGAAATGACAAATGTTGTGAGATGTTTTTCTTTACTTTTACTTAAATAAAACAAAGAATTTACTACAATGCTTGCAAAGTTTAAGTACAACAAGCAGCATGACATCAAATAAAATTGACCTATTTTCCCCCCGTGACCCAGAAGGATAAGCGGCTTAGAAGATGTGTGTGTGTGTGTATAATGAATATACATTAAATTTATTTCTGCACTGCAAAAACAAGGCAAAATTGATTCCAACCATTTTTGAGGTTTGAATTGAGGTAAAATATTGCTTTAGTGTATTGAAACTACAATTGTGCTTCAGTCCCACACACGTGGGATTCAACAGGTTTTAATAAAGGACAGGTTCAAAGCAGTACACTCATTTTCTAAGACTAAAGAATATCACAGTCTTTATTAAAGGTGCAGTGTGTAATATTTAGGGGGATCTATTAGCAGAAATGGAATATAGTATACAAAACCATGTTTTCATTACTGTATGATCACCTGTAACTATGAATTGTTGTGTTTTATTTAGCTTAGAATGAGCCTTTCATATCTACACAAGGAATGGGTCTTCTTCCAACAGAGGCCAACATAATACACTGCCATGTTTCTACAGTAGCCCAGAACGGACAAACCAAACACTGACTCAAGAGGGCACCTTCCACATTTTTATACTGAAGAAGCAGCTTGAATTTGGTGGCACTATAGCAACGATTGGAAAATGTAGAAAGAAGAAGAACCAGTGATTGCTGCCAATGTCGGCTAGTGATTTTTGAGAACCCAAATTTTGACAAATAGAGGATCATACTTAAGAAAAAGCGAGGGAGGGTGAATCCTGGTCATCAAAGAAGTGGTTCTACTACACACTTGGAAAGGGAGGGGTGAGGGAGAGTATTTAGTTGGTTGCAATCTGCAACCATTAGAGGCCACTAAATCTTACACAGTGCACCTTTAAATCTGACTATATGCAATACTGACAAGTGGTGTAAAAATATTTATGAGTGGATTAAGCGAAAGAGTTTTAGGTAGTTTATTATCAGGTCATGGAAATTTGATACTAAGTTATGCAAAGGAATTTAAATGAAATCATTATCAAATAATTAAATTAACTTTTTAGAAAAACTAGCTCAGTCGAGTGGTGATGATAGGAACCAGGCATCAGAAGCATTTACTTCCAAAATCTACCTCACAGAAAGCTATTACATGAGATGGATATGAATTTGTTGTCTGATGCCTCAGATATTGTTTTACAACAGTTTTCTTTAGATAAGATTAGATGAGACAAAATAGGCCTGAAAGAAAACTTATTTTTCAAGGTTTACAACTATTTTGTCATTTTAACACCAGGGAGTTAAAAGTCTGGGAGTACTGGGAGATTTCCCAGCAGTCTGGCCTGTCAGTTGGTCAGGCTGGATGCCAAGATAAATAAAACTAGAGCAGAGTGCAGCCATCCAGATGTCAACAACCCCCCCTCTCCTGCCCCTCGGCCCTATAGTCAATCAGATGGTTGTCCTATAGTGACTTTTTAAAGCCTGTGCATAACAGACACGTAAAAAAACGGCATCAGATTTGTGTTTACAACTTTGCAAAACTAATATGAAGAGGAGAGACGGATACAGCTGAGAAGAAAAAGAGAAGCTGTGGTCAAAACAGGTACAGTTAGTAACAAACTTCTTTATTTAGGTAACTATGTGGAAAATAACCAAACCTGTTAACCATTACACAGCTCAAAATATCTACTTTAGCAAGGGAGCAACAGCTCAGTCAGATTTTGCCCAAACAGTACCCAACATTTCTAGCCTGGTCCCTGTTTAGCCTCAAAAGACAAGGTCACTTTGCATAGTAAATAAAATGACTATATCTGTGTTATATTCACGGTGACCCCTGGTTCCTGTAACCACCACTGTAAAGATATCTGAGTCTGTAAGTTTCTCTAAAATGCACCTTTTCATATCAAAACATTCCCAGATAGCAAAGTTATTCTGGTCTGGTCAGGCCCACATCCCCCATTTTCATCTGGCCCACTCACCACATGAATGGATGGCACTTTGTAGGTCCACTCCTTGTTGCCATGCTCAGGCCACATTAAAACCAGATTAGAACCAAAAATGAAACACAACTGGACAACAAATTGACCAGAAGCTAGGGTCTAGACTTGGAACGGCTTGGCACTGGAATTGTTTCAGAGTCAGCTGCTATAGCAAATTTGATAAGGCCCACATACTGCACTGAATGAAATGCACAACAAAGGGTTGGGTGTGGTTTCCAGAACCTCGTCACCTTTATACCATCACTGCTAGAACTGACTCACAACTCAACCACAAGTAGAAAAACTGGCCCATTACACTGTGAAAATGAAAACTGTGGATGCACCGAAAATTCAGGATCTAAACATTTAGGCCAAAAACGAGAGAAAAAGAAGTTTAAATAGCTTGTTCTTTATAGAAGTGACACACCTATCAGTCATCTCGCTTATGAATCTGTTCCAGGCAAGACATCAGGATCCACAGACACTCATGTGGCACTAAATCGTGTATATTGTCAGAGTTTGATTGGCATTCATAGCCCTGTGCTCTGGAGAGAGCCACAGTTTGACACTGCAGACAGGGTCATTCCCAGAAATAGAAATAGAAACTTTTTGGAAATAAATGTTCGGGTTTGCGCTGTATCATACGGCCCTCTACTGTCTGCGACTTACTACAAAGTAAAAAATGTAACTTTAAGAGTCTGCAAAGAAAATGAGAAATGGCTTCATTACTGTTAACTGCCTTATGATTATTTAACTGAAGTAGGAAGCAGACCTGCGTTCCCAGAATCCTGTTTCGCTAGGGTCCTAAGTTCCCAGGGAGCTATGTTCTCAGGGGCCTAGCCTTAAAGCTCCTTTGAGCCACCAGGCTCAGTAAAATTCCTGTCAACAACCCTCATAAGAACACTAATCCCCACCCTTCAACTTAAGAGTGGAACAAACAACCATGCATGAGGAGGGTTACAAAAAACGTCTAGCATTAGGACCTTTTTGAACAGTCTTTGGAACTAAATCAAGAACCGAGGCATGTTCTAATGCCACAGCGTGATACATCATACCTCAATATGATACATTAAGGATGCCTATGAATGGGTTCCTGAAGTCATAAATAAGGTTCTAGCTCAGTTAAGGTCATACAGGAGTAGATGTTCAAAAAGGAATGCACTAGCTAGGATAGCCTTGGCGAACTAATTAGCTAGCTGACAACATTGTAACACCAACCGTGTTTTGAGGACTCAGTGCATAGCATATATAAACTTTGTGAATAACTGTCTTTGTCTGGTTTAAGCATGGTGTATTGGCCTTTTTTGTGGTACTAACTGTGTAGCCCAGAGGTCTTCAACTCCAGACTTTGAATCCAGTTTCCAGGTCCCAGATTTTGTATTCATCTCTGGTGTAGCCCTTAGATTGCTAACAAACTTGCAGAGTAAAGTAACAAACTTACATCAACAGACACATAAAACAAATAGAGTTTACTACATAAAGCCCAGCTTGTAGGAAACTGAATGATTGTATGTCATCGATTTGATACAGTAAGTTATTGGCAAAAAGGAAGAAGATCACAATGATTTCTTGGGATGTTCTACACCTAAAGTCTACTTTTATGTTGAATTCATCTTTTGCCTCCCAAAGGACACTTGACTAAATACACAGTCGCAAGGCCAAAGTACCTGAACCAATTCCAGGCATTATTCATTCAGCCTATTCATTTCAATTTGCTTCTGTTTTTTATGTGCTCAGTAGGGCATGTACCCCTGGAAGTACATGTCCTGGACCCTGTCATCTTTCTTTCACCCAGCATCAAAATTCGACATGAGTTTCTAAATTTGAAATTGATTTGCTAGTTAGTTTAGAAGACATGTTATAGATTAACTTGACCATTACTGTGTGAAAACTAATGGCCACCGTTAATTCACAGGTTCTTTTTAGATAACCAGCACCTCATGGAGCTGATCTCCTACTTCTGTCATTTTCTAAATTCCTTTGTGAAGAATATAGTTCGCAGTGCTGTTTGCAAGAAAACTGTGATGAGTATAAAATAAAATATCACCTTAATTTATAAGCTTGTTTACACTACAAGACTACAAGACCAGATACAGTCACAATATCATGAGCATATGCCAGCAAAACATGACACTACGCAACAGTTTTAAAGCAGAAACCTTGTGATACACTTTAAAAGTAGCTTTTGTTTGCCCTGCTAAGATAGTGCTAATTTCCACTAGCCAGGCTATAACCTAATAATTTGCCTGTTATTTTAGCATCAAGCTAACGGTGGTGGATTTTGGCATTTTATAGCAGCTTTTTAGATCACTTGCATAAATATGATGCAGGTAACAGACATTTAAGTAACATATCATCACTGTCCAAAGAAAAAATGTCCAAAGAAAAACATCTCCATTTTTATTTTCCCTTTATTTTATGTAATAAAATAAAGAATAAGGTCAATAAATTATTGAATTACCTGTATTAAAATGGTACAAAAATACAATATTTGATGTTTTACCATGTAACCAGTCTAGAACCTGTACTCTCTAAATACGCAGCCATGCTATTATAACATGTACAGAATGTTTCTTGGCCTTGTCATGTTGAAAGAAGCAAGAACATCCCTGAAAAAGATTGTGTCTAAAAGGCAGCATATGTTGCTCCAAAATGTATTTAACGCTAAAGGTGCTTTCACAGATGTGCAGGTTACCTGCTAATACCCTCCTATACCAGGACAGATGCTGGCTTTTGAAATTTAAGCTGGTAACAATGGTACTTTTCCTCTTTGGCTCAGAGAACACGAAATCCATTACTTTCATAAATAAAACTGAAAGGTGGACTCGTCACACCACAATACACGTTTCCACTGAGCATCAGACCATTTCAGATGAGCTCGAGCCCAGAGAAGTTGGCAGTGTTTCTGGACACTGTTGGCATTTGACTTCCACTGTGCATAGTATAGCCTTACCTTGCATTTGTGGATGCAGTGACAGACAGTGTTCAGTGTGCTCTTATGGGTTAAAACTCACAGGCATTTCTCAGAAATCCCTGAATCTTTTGATGTTATTATGTACTGTAGAGGGTATAATACTTAAAATCCTTGTGAATCCTAGCAGAGGAATGTTATTTTTAAACTGTTGGATTTTTAGCTGATGCATTTTTGGCAAAGTAGTGAGCCTTGACCATCCTTGCTCATAAAGGACTAGTTTTTTTGGGATACATCAGATGTTTTCCCTGTTTTTCGGTATGTGTTGCAGGCATCAATTTCAGAATGAGCATATCATCACTGTCCAAAAAAACAAGTATCTTTTTTTGGGAGTTTTAGTTTTCTGCATAATTTGAGCTCAGCAGCTGTCCCTTATGTGAGAATTTCATGATGATTGGACATAGAAATGCTCCAAAATTGCTTTGAACAAAATATCTTTACATTAACTTACTTTGAAAGTAAAGAAAGTTTTGCCCTCTCCTGTAAAGTTACTGTTTTGGAGATACTTTTTTCTCTTAGGACAGTCATGATATATATTTATAAAAAAAACAATGATGCTGATATGGTAAAGCATTGCATCAAAGTAGATTATGAATCACTGCTTTCTGTTTTTATTTGCATTTTACATTCTGTCCCAACTTTTCTGAAATTGAGTTTGTACAATGATAAGTGCACATATATGTGAACTGGCAAGAAAAAAAGCAGTTTGTTTATTAGGTCTCTGTTAAAGGAAGTCTATGGAGAAACATGTTTTTTGCCATTAGAGATAATCTATACAATATGGCCTCTAGGGCTAGCCAGCCAAACCCTGCCTCTGAGATTGAGGCAGAAATCCAGAATCTGGTCCTGCCCCTTCCGAAGCTCAAGGCAGTCCACGTTTTTGCTCTGTTCCAAACTTTTATTTGGAATCCCTGACTGTGGAGTTTGCTAGATTTCTGTATGAGGAACATCTGGGCTAAGGTGAGAGTAAACAAAGAAGCTGGACATAGTTAAACATTTACGAACATTCGGCGAAGGGGATAGAGTTAGTGAACAGCGTAAAATCAGTACAGATGTGTTTGAGAGGCGTACGAGACTGACCAAGGTTTGATAAACTGCTTCAACACTCTCAGGTAAGAAGAGACTGAGATCAGTACATTCATTTTCTGATTCTAAACAATCCATTGTTTTATGATGGTGCAATGTATTCATGGCAGGATTCAGCGAAAGTATAGTAGTTTGAATGTTTGTAACTAATGTAACAGTGGGAATGAATATGATTGGCATGTGTTCCCTTGGGTACATATTAACTACACAAAACCTTTTGTCACTGTGTTCTATACAGTCGTGATGGAGTTGAGGAAGCTCCTCTGGTGCTTCGCTCTCCTTTTCATTGGTGCCAGTATTGCTGACATTCAGACCTTACATGACATTAAGGATCTGAAAGGCATTGAATTTGGACATGAGTATCCTCGCCATGGTCTTCTGCTGCTGCACTGGTTGGCCAGACATGTCACCATCAATCAAGCAGAAGACTACCTGCTTCATTTCGACCCTGTGCGGCAGGACTACGGCTTCCAGCACTATGAAAATCCCCAATGTACCGAGGAATTTGGTCTTCCACACTGGAACGACACACTGGACAGGGAGTACTACTCTTTGGGCAGCCTCAGTTCGGAGGCAGTCCGAACCCAGCTGCCTCCATACGTGACCCAAGACTACTACAATTCCCTTGATAACCCCAACAGAGACCTTGACCTGATTATTGTTCGAGTACAAAAGAGCAGTCCAACGATAGCGGACAAAGTGTACATTACGAGCATACGAGGTTGCGATGATGACCAAAATAAAACCCATGAGATCAGTTCTAAGCTCTTGAGGCAAGTTCAAGCTTTGCAAAAGCCTGTTAATATATTACTAACTTTACTATCAGACAGTTGGGACCCTAGTATAACACGGTCAGATGATCCTAGACTCGCACTCACCAAAGGTGAATTCAGGACTCACCTGCAAAACGTCGAAAAATACCTCAAGGGCATTTTTGAGCAACTAGATGTGAGGTGGCTTCTGAGTCTGGCAGGATACGACGTAGAGGCCAGATATGACGTCCATAAGCAAACTTGGCTCTGCTCAACAGACGAGCCAGCCCAACACAAGGAATCCAATCTTGAGACGACTTGCGAAGCCAACATCCCAGTGAAGATAGAGGTGAAATCAACACCGTATGGCTACGCCAGGCTCACGTGGAGTGGGATTCCCAACAACATCATAGAAAAGGATCCAATTATTGTCCTTTTCGGAAGTGACACCTCCACCAGTCTTGAGACTTTCGAATCTCTTCAAAGGCAAACATCAGGATCTGCAGACACTTTTGTGGTGCTGAAACATGGACTTCATCCACGTCTCGTTACGTACAAGTTCGGAAGTGGACGCGGTTTCATTGGGCTTCATTACACGGTCTATTGGAGAGGGCCGCAGTTTGATGCTGCTAACAGGGTCATTCCTACTGAAATTAGTGGCTACAATGCAAGTCTTCAACTCTACACCAAAGATGGCTACGCATGCGCTCGCCTCTACATCAAGAACTCCTTCACCAATTGGAAAGATGAGTTCTACAACTCATGGGTGGGATTCTACGCAAGCGAACAAGATCCTGACCACACATATCAGCACTACCAGTGGGTCTCCAACTTTGAGAAGGTTGGTGAAGAAGACGATGACACTAAAGAGTATCTCGTCTATCAGTATCAGTCATCTATGAGTATCGGTCCCTGGAGTCCAAGCTCGCTTTCTGTTTTCTGAAGAAACTGTCCGCACTTACATTCTTCTCAGATGGTACACTCCAACCATGAAAGCCCGCACTGTTCCCTGGGAGAAAGTGAAAACCTAACCATATGGGGAACAAATGAAGGAAAATGCCTCAAGGAAACCCTAATGCATTGAAATGTCGATGTTTTTAAATGTTCCATTCATTTAATGAAGCATTTTTTCATATAAGCCTTAAATATCATCAATGTTTTGATTGTTTTAATGCTTAGAAAAGTTTTATGCCAAGCGAGTGAACTCATGCTCATATAGTTATGCACATATTGTACTAATTTACTGCATGCTTAAAAGGTTGGCTGTTTCATGTAGACCTAATTGTTGCCCAAATAAACACTTAAATCATGAATAAATGATAAACAATCTTCTTTGCTTTTCAGTGCAGACTGTCTTTTGCTTCTGCTTGTTATGGAAAATCTGATCTAAACTTAATTTGGTAACACAAATCCTACTATAGAACATTGACATAACCATGCTATAAACATGTAATTACAGACATCATACGGAGCCATGAGTTTTTCCAACAGATTTGTCCAGTAATATCATAGTGTTCCCTTTATTGGCTAAAATATTTTAAAAAGATGGTTCTTCAAGGGTTCTTTAGTAAAGAGAACTGTTTTATATCGAACCATGAACATTCAAAAAAACCTTTGTATGATTAAAGTATGTATCAAATGTAGTGATGTGTTGAGGTGATAAACACATTGTATTAACTAGGCGGTGATCAGAAACTACAAAATGATGTTACTCTCCTCTAGTGTGATGTCATTTGTGTCACTTTGGTGCCCTCTACGGTCTCAGCAGTATTATTTACAAACACCTGGGTTGGTTATTACATTACTGTGTTATAATATGCTGGTGGAATCAGGCAGTGGAGGCCTAACTGCAAATGACTATCCAGTAATTCAAGATGTGAGAGTTGTTGTAAAGAACTGAGCTGTATGTTTATACCTGACTTTATTAAAACTTGTAGATGGCTACAAAATATAAAAAGCCATCTGAAGAAACATATTAAAGAATTATTGTGACCTCCAGATGGTCGATGAAATACCGAATTTGTAATACTGAAGCAAAAGGTGTGTTTATCATTTGTGTAATATTGTATTTTCTATAATGAGGATGGTGCTGATATGTATGATGGAATTGTTTCATTATAAATAGGGACTGAAGAACAGAAAACATCTCTGAAATGGACGTTTACAGGAGAAGGAAAAACCGTCTTAAACTGTAATGGAAGTTAATGGAACCAGATTTTTCTGGAAGTAATTACGGAGCATTTATGTTGGTCCATTCCTTATGAAATTTAGCATAAGATAAATTTGGTTTTCAAATTATGCATCACAGTAAAAAATGACAAAAACAAAAAGGTTTTGCAATGGCAACAATATATTGAAAATACAGAGTGAAAAAATGCTTGAGTTGAGGAACTTTGAACTGGTTGTTGCAAATTAAGTCTCTCACAGTTTAGTCATCTCTGTTACAATTATTCTAATTAAGCAGTAATCGTAGTAATTACAATTAAAAAGTAAAGCAGGCAAAATTCTCTTGTAATAGTGTTTAATCCTAGGCCTCCCAAATCAATCAAATCAACCTTTTGCAAGATTTCAGGGTTCTTTGGATCATGAAAGTGTTCTTCAGATTGATGGAAAATGTGCTACAGATGGTTCTGTATAGAAGCGTTTTGAAAAGCCTTCTATATAGAACCCAAAAGAGTTCTTCTATTGTTACAAGCTTGACATCATAACAATAGAAGAACCCTTTTGGTGCTATACAGAACCATATACAACACATTCTCCATCAATCTGAAGAACGCTTTCATGATGCAAAGAACCATTTAATCATGCAAAAGGTTCTTTGAGTGCTAATGGTTCTATTTAGAAGGTGGTGAGTGTTTAACGTTTGCCAGAAATGAATCACAAGGCAGATTAATTGACTGAGTCCAGTGATTTGAGGGTACTGGTGGACGCATGTCTATAGGCTACATCACTATAGTCCAGTGCTGATATTAAGGTCACCTCCATGACTCTTTTTCCGGCGGACACAGGCAGACAGGATTTGTTTTGATAAAGAAATCCGAGACTCTGTCTGCACTTTCGGACTAGTTTATTAATATAAGACATCAGCCATATTTTACTTATACTCTGTGGCTCACTCAATGCTGGGTCCTCTCGGGGTAGTAATATTCACAGTACTTGAAGATCTGGAGAACAGTGTAAACTTAGTTTTCTTGGCATTTAAACCTATTTGTGCTTGTACAAATTGTAAAATCATGTTATTTGCGTACAAGTGCACTGCAGTCTGAGGCGGAGGCAGTGAGATCATTAATATATCTGTTAAATAAAACTGGGCCCAGGATTGAGCCTTTTGGTACCCCTTTAGTTATGTAACTTAAATCTTATTTATGGTTACCCAGTGCCATACATTGTTTTAAATCAAATATCCCTTTGTTATTTTCAGAGCATTAGACAGGGAAGAACACTAATATTTGCAGAGTGGTGGCCTGAAAGGAACTCAGTTTGACATTACTGTTGTAGATTATACCAGAACATGCTTAAAATATATTTCAAAGCTGTAGAAGAAACAGGAAGACAAAATTGCTTTGCATTGTGTTTTGTTACATTTATTCGGATTTTAGTTTAAAAAAAAAAACAGCCAGAATGTTCAGTTACAAGAACGATCTTCAAATCCATCACATTTTAATTATAATATGTTTATAATGTGTATGTCATATAGTAACTTTATAGTATCTAGTTTACAATGACACACATTCTGTAATGTTTTGTCGCTGTGAGAACAAAATCTTTGTTATTGTCAGGTTTTTATGTTTTTACACACATTGAAAACATGACATGATGAATGGTAAAGCATGATTTGGAATAATATCTATTTACATTAACCCCAAAAAAGGCCTGGGCTTGCCGGAGGGCCCAAAGTTTTTTACACATTCCATAACAAGGGGTTAGCTTCCACCTAAAGTTTTTTCCTTTTTCTGTAAAATTACTTTTTTTTTGCAATTATAATTTTTGTTTCCAATGACCATGATATTCTTTTATTCCGTTTTTAAAACCCATTTAATTCTTAGTTTGGATGCCTATAGGCCTTTCAGGAGAGAGGTGTTCAACCTTGAAACTTAATCCAGCTTCCTGGATTCTGCAGTAATGGCACTATGTGGCTAAATAGTTACATAAACAGTTCAACTATCTACCAGTGATTCCAAAATCCAGGACTAGAAATTGAATTCAAGACCTCTGCTGGTTTCCAAAAGTAACAGTAAGCAAAAACCCCAATTACATATTGCAATCACAGTCAAGTAACATTATAAAACTAATCAAGGTTCTAAAAACTCGTCCAACAAGTGTGCAGGCAAATGGTTCCTTACATGCATATGCATTATTTATGTATTCTTTTATTTCAGAGGTTTGTATAGGAATTTTTACTGTCCTTTTCCTGTAACTAACCCTGCTCATCTGGATTGATTACATCCTCCCAGGGTTCAGTGCGAGCTTTCTCATTTATGTAGCCTTCGTCTTGCTGGAATCTAAGCTGTACTCCAGGAGCAATGGCCAGACTCGACTTATATTCAAAGATGACATACTCCTCAGACAAATCTTCATCAGAGATCTTCTCAAAATTTGTACTCCACTGATATGTTTTATATGCTTTATTACCATCTGATTTACTTCTATAGAATCCCACCCAAGTGTTGGAAAAGATTCCAGTTTTCCAGTTTTTTTCGCAGCTTTTTTTAACAAAGAGTCGAGCACAGGCATAGCCGTCTTTGGCATAAAGCTGCAGACGTGCACTGTAACCTCTAACATTGGTAGGAAGAACCCCATTGGCTTCGTTAAGCTTTGGGCCTGCCCAGATAATTTTGTCACGAACAGTGAGCTTTACTTGAAAGCCAGGATTTAGGGGCCAGGAAGTGTCTATTGTTCCATACATTATTCCATCAAGAGGGTAAGCCTGCAGCAATTTGTGGTCTTTATAAAGACCTGCTTTGCTGTTCTTTTTCAGTATGTACTCTGGTATCCCACTCCATGAGATCCTTGCATATCCTTTTGATGTAGTTTTCACTTCTAGTTTTATCTTATTGTGTACATCACATGTGGACATTGCGTCATGCGCATATCGATTACGGTTATTGGTCAAGCAGAATAAGGACTGTGAAAAATGAGTGACCCTTTCATCAGTCTTATAACCTGCCAGGACCAGAAACCATGTTAAGCCTGGAGTGGGTGGATATACACTCTGTAAATCTTCAATTCTTTCTTGGTAGTTCAAGCTGTCACATGCAATAAGTGATAGTCTAGGGTCAGTTCTGTTACGTGGGTCTTCCATTGGGGATCTCATAAGGGCCTGAATTTGCTTCAGGAGAAATGGACTGACCCTGAAAGTGCTGTCTTGGTCATACTCAGTCCCTTGTTCTCTATCCTCGTAATGCTGTGTAATATAGACTTCGTCAACTGTTTCTGGATGGTCCTTTTTAAGTCTAATTACAACCCTTTCTATGTTTCTCAGTGGATGTCTCTGTGAATTGTAATGGTCCTGTTTGACATACAAAGGCAACTGGCAGGCATTACTGAGATCGCCCAAAACATAATACGATCTGTTTAACTTGGCTGACAACTCTGGAAGGACTTTACTTATAGAGTTTTGCTTAGATCCATATTCATGAAAGCCATAATGTCCTCTAGTGGGATTAAAATGAAGAAATTCTTCATTTCCATTAATGTCAGTTTGGCTGGCAAACCAGTGCAGAAGCATGAGACCATGTCGTGGGAATTGCTTGCCAAAATTGGTGCGTTCTTTTAGGTCCTTAATGTCTTTCAGGACCCTAATCTCTGTGCCCATGACCAGGCACAGAGAGAAACAGCAAAGGAGCACTCCCCTCTTCATCTTAAGACCTGGAAAAGTGAAGATAACACATTTTATGAAATGCTAGATAATATTTGGTGTTATCCCACAAGTAGGTATTGATAATCTCAGGTGGTAGCAGTAAACTGAAATGGAATCAACTGCAGTACTGCATTACATTCAGTTTGAGCAAAGTAATAAAACATACAGAAATAGCGAAAATATAATGTAGCCTGAATTCAAAAATCTAATTAGTTGGAACTATAGTACACTTACAAGCTGATTTTCACAGATGATGATGTTTGTGCCTTGCTGGTCAAAATGAATCTGTTGGAACCTGTTGGAGAAACACAGAGTGTCTTGTAATATACTATCACTGATTCAGATCCAAACTTTAAGCTTCAGGCTTCAACCTAAGATGCAAACTTCAAACTTCAATCTAAAACAACTTAGAGCATCAAACTGAAACCCAAATATAAAATTACCTAAAACTTCAATCGAAAAAACTGAAACGTCAAGCTTCAACCTAAGACTCAAACTTCAAGCGTCATCCAAAAACCCAAACATCAAGCTTCAACCTAAAACTCAAACTTCTACCATCTGCCTGAAAGCCAAAGCCCAAGCTGCAACCTAAATCCTTACTTAAGGTTCTAACAAAATCCTGAACTTCACGCTTTAAAACAAAAGTGTTCAAAGTGAAAGAATGAATTTATGTAATTTTTTCATTCAATATTACTTATTACATGTAAATTTAAGACATGTATGAAGTCTACTTATGAAGTATGATGTCAATAAAAACATGGTTAATAATTAAAAAGGTAGCACCCATTATGAGTAAGAGGTCACCCTGCATCACACTGCGCTCAATAAACAATATTTTTGACAAGTGTTATTTCTAATACTCACACTGATGTGTTTCGGGGGTCTTGTTCTCTGAGGTCTCAGGCGGTTGAAGTTCTCTGTGGTTCACAATGAACTTAATGTCCTGACGATCATCCTGATATTTATATTTGATCTTATGGGAGGGTAAAGACGCCCCCCTCCCTACTATCCGTTTCTCTCTTTTGCTATTAACTTCCTCCAGAGTTCATAGAAGGAAACTTCCTCTGTTTTCCATCTCGGCCATTGCTCAAGTTTATTTCTGAAGTTTCAACATCCTTCTTTGTCGTAGCAGGCAATATGTATAAAATGATGGTGGGGAGGCAGGTGTTACTGTAAAGGCGACATCTGCATGTGCTGGATTAGCGAAAATGTTAATGTGGAAAACAGGTTGTAGTGTTTCCAATTAGAAATGACTCAAGTATCTGAGCATTCATTCAGTTCATAAAGAGTCTTCAAAGTTTATTAGATCACACCTTATATAAACTTTCTCTAATAACTGTGTAGTTACATAACTATGTAGTATTTCTATCTTTTGCATTTTTAAGAAATTAGTACAAACAAATATATATATATATATTTTAAAATGAAACTGAGGCTTCCGTCAGTTTGTCCACTTAAATATAATGAGGTCTGACAAAAAATGACAATAAAATAGAATAATTTGCAATGTCAGTTTTATTTATTAATTAAATAGTTACTGTGATTAAGTGCTAAATGCTATTCCAAACTTAATTAAAAAAAAAACACAATAATTGAAGCTTTCTTTGCATCTTATGTTCCTTATTTGCTGATATGCACATTTTCATGTGGAAAAACTAAAATGTAACTGACATCTAGAAATGTGCATTTGCTGAAGAAAATGCAGAGTGACTGCACAGTCAAGCAGTTCCAAGGCAGTTGCTAAGGTGTTGCATTGTGGTTACTATGGCATTTTACATAGTTGCTAGGTAGTTGCTATGGTATCCCAGGTTGATATGATATTCCAGGTGGGTGCTAGACAGTGGCTAGGTGGTTGCTAGGATGTTGTTAGGTGGTTGCTATGATATTCCAGGTGGTCACTAGACTCTGGCTAGGTGGTTGCTCAGGTAATGTTGGGTGGCTGCTATGATATTCCAGGTGGTCGCTAGACTGTGGCTAGGTGGTTGCTAGGGTGTTGCTGGATGGTCGCTATTCCATCTCAGGTGTTTTTTGTGCTATTCCAGATGATTGCAGGGTGGTTTTAATAATATGCCAGATAGATTCTTGAGGGCTGGTAGACAGTTTACTAGGTGGTTGCGCTAGTATCCCATATGGTTCATGGGGTGTTGCTAATGGACTTGTATCATTATAATACAAGTTGGGTGCACAAACCTTTGCCCTCCATTCATTCCTTAGGGAAGAACTGTCATTTAACGGTCATTGTTTCTAAACCATAAGTCTGATATTTATATTTGATCTTATGGGAGGGTAAAGACGCCCACCTCCCTACTATCCGTTTCTCTCTTTTGCTATTAACTTCCTCCAGAGTTCATAGAAGGAAACTTCCTCTGTTTTCCATCTCGGCCATTGCTCAAGTTTATTTCTGAAGTTTCAACATCCTTCTTTGTCGTAGCAGGCAATATGTATAAAATGATGGTGGGGAGGCAGGTGTTACTGTAAAGGCGACATCTGCATGTGCTGGATTAGCGAAAATGTTAATGTGGAAAACAGGTTGTAGTGTTTCCAATTAGAAATGACTCAAGTATCTGAGCATTCATTCAGTTCATAAAGAGTCTTCAAAGTTTATTAGATCACACCTTATATAAACTTTCTCTAATAACTGTGTAGTTACATAACTATGTAGTATTTCTATCTTTTGCATTTTTAAGAAATTAGTACAAACAAATATATATATATATATATATATATATATAAATGAAAACTGAGGCTTCCGTCAGTTTGTCCACTTAAATATAATGAGGTCTGACAAAAAATGACAATAAAATAGAATAATTTGCAATGTCAGTTTTATTTATTAATTAAATAGTTACTGTGATTAAGTGCTAATGCTATTCCAAACTTAATTAAAAAAAAACACAATAATTGAAGCTTTCTTTGCATCTTATGTTCCTTATTTGCTGATATGCACATTTTCATGTGGAAAAACTAAAATGTAACTGACATCTAGAAATGTGCATTTGCTGAAGAAAATGCAGAGTGACTGCACAGTCAAGCAGTTCCAAGGCAGTTGCTAAGGTGTTGCATTGTGGTTACTATGGCATTTTACATAGTTGCTAGGTAGTTGCTATGGTATCCCAGGTTGATATGATATTCCAGGTGGGTGCTAGACTCTGGCTAGGTGGTTGCTCAGGTAATGTTGGGTGGCTGCTATGATATTCCAGGTGGTCGCTAGACTGTGGCTAGGTGGTTGCTAGGGTGTTGCTGGATGGTCGCTATTCCATCTCAGGTGTTTTTTGTGCTATTCCAGATGATTGCAGGGTGGTTTTAATAATATGCCAGATAGATTCTTGTGGGCTGGTAGACAGTTTACTAGGTGGTTGCGCTAGTATCCCATATGGTTCATGGGGTGTTGCTAATGGACTTGTATCATTATAATACAAGTGGGTGCACAAACCTTTGCCCTCCATTCATTCCTTAGGGAAGAACTGTCATTTAACGGTCATTGTTTCTAAACCATAAGTCTGATATTTATATTTGATCTTATGGGAGGGTAAAGACGCCCCCCTCCCTACTATCCGTTTCTCTCTTTTGCTATTAACTTCCTCCAGAGTTCATAGAAGGAAACTTCCTCTGTTTTCCATCTCGGCCATTGCTCAAGTTTATTTCTGAAGTTTCAACATCCTTCTTTGTCGTAGCAGGCAATATGTATAAAATGATGGTGGGGAGGCAGGTGTTACTGTAAAGGCGACATCTGCATGTGCTGGATTAGCGAAAATGTTAATGTGGAAAACAGGTTGTAGTGTTTCCAATTAGAAATGACTCAAGTATCTGAGCATTCATTCAGTTCATAAAGAGTCTTCAAAGTTTATTAGATCACACCTTATATAAACTTTCTCTAATAACTGTGTAGTTACATAACTATGTAGTATTTCTATCTTTTGCATTTTTAAGAAATTAGTACAAACAAATATATATATATATATATATATATATATATATATATATATATATATATATATATATATATATATTAAAATGAAACTGAGGCTTCCGTCAGTTTGTCCACTTAAATATAATGAGGTCTGACAAAAAATGACAATAAAATAGAATAATTTGCAATGTCAGTTTTATTTATTAATTAAATAGTTACTGTGATTAAGTGCTAAATGCTATTCCAAACTTAATTAAAAAAAAAACACAATAATTGAAGCTTTCTTTGCATCTTATGTTCCTTATTTGCTGATATGCACATTTTCATGTGGAAAAACTAAAATGTAACTGACATCTAGAAATGTGCATTTGCTGAAGAAAATGCAGAGTGACTGCACAGTCAAGCAGTTCCAAGGCAGTTGCTAAGGTGTTGCATTATGGTTACTATGGCATTTTACATAGTTGCTAGGTAGTTGCTATGGTATCCCAGGTTGATATGATATTCCAGGTGGGTGCTAGACAGTGGCTAGGTGGTTGCTAGGATGTTGTTAGGTGGTTGCTATGATATTCCAGGTGGTCGCTAGACTGTGGCTAGGTGGTTGCTAGGGTGTTGCTGGATGGTCGCTATTCCATCTCAGGTGTTTTTTGTGCTATTCCAGATGATTGCAGGGTGGTTTTAATAATATGCCAGATAGATTCTTGTGGGCTGGTAGACAGTTTACTAGGTGGTTGCGCTAGTATCCCATATGGTTCATGGGGTGTTGCTAATGGACTTGTATCATTATAATACAAGTTGGGTGCACAAACCTTTGCCCTCCATTCATTCCTTAGGGAAGAACTGTCATTTAACGGTCATTGTTTCTAAACCATAAGTCTTATTGAAAAGCTGTATGCAGCCTCAACGTTCCTGATTGGACCAGTGTCAGTATCTCAGAAACTGCAGGATGAGTCAGTGGACAAAAATCCAGCAGAAAAAGAAGGCGACGAATAATAATAAGAAGAAAAAGAGGAAGAAAAAAAGAAGAAGAAGAACAAAATAAAATGATAAAATGTGGTTGTGAATACAGCTCACGCCAGTTTACAATGTTGGTCATACATTCTAAGAAAGCGTTCTCGATTTCTGGGCCTTTCTTCTATTTTGGTAGGCCTCTCGTGAGCATTAATCCACTGAAACTATCTGTTCTACTTTTTACTTTGCGTGGTTCTTTCATTCCTCAGTAAAACCACACCGTCAGCAGTCGGCAGGTTACAAGAGAATCTCAGTCAGAACATGCAAAGTATTTTACATGGTCATCAGGGTCTTTCTAGGTGGTTTCTGTGGTATTCCAGGTGGTTGGCAGCATGTTGCCAGGTGCTTGCTAGGGTGTTGCTGGCTGGTTGCTATGGTGGGTAAAGCAAGGGTTTTCCGATCCAACTGTGTATCTTTAATGTTTTTCCCAAGGGAAAAGTATCCATTTGTAACTTTTCATATTAAAATGGAACAATCAAATAGAAATCTTGGAGGGAAGACAAGGTGTATGTCAATGCAGTTTAAAAAGGATAACTACAATGGATAATGGGACAATTATGTTTCCTAACTGAACCCTTGGTGGTACCGCCACCAGTGACAGTTTAGTACAACTTTTTTTTGAGAGTGTAAATAAAAGTCTGCTATTCAGCCCGAGCCTAACGGCATCTGGTTTTGAGCTGGGATCGAGTTGATTTTTTCATATACTCTCCTGTTAGGCTGGGGTTTGTGTTCTAATTAATTTTTATATAAGTAGCTGGGCTGTACATCTTACAGCTGTAACTTTTTAAGCAGATAGCACTGGTACTAGGTAAGCAGCACATTTTTAGCATAGATAAAAAGAGCATAAATGCTCCTCAAATATATTAATCTCAAGAAGTGGAATAAATGATGTGAATTTTTTGAAATGCACATGGGTGTTTTTTGAGATTTTTTCAGCAGGCAAATGGTAAAATCTCCAATTGTTGCTGGTGTGATGTTGCCGCCTCAAACTACACAACTTGTGGGCATTTTGCAGTATGCAAGAAAGGTTTTGGAATGTAGCAGTACCAGTCAGGCTTGGTTGGGTCGGGGTCAATAGTCAGAGGCTAAATGTCAGAATTGGGCTTCAATTTCATGCCGTCTCAAGTCTCTACACTTAAGAAACTCTTTTCTGCAGAATATGATAGCATTTTTACCAACATGTCGTACATACATTACCATACATGATCAGTGTAACATGAGCTTATTTCTTCTGTTTGTTTTAAAGAAGATAAAAGGTCCCAGAATCTTTATTGATGATAGAGGGCAAATGACTAACTTTAGAGAAACACCAGTAAAAATTACAGTAGCCCACCTTCTCAGGTACAGCTAATCTCATACGAATAGGGTTTCAGTCTGTTTTTCAGTTTGAGTTTGTTTGTACTTACCACCTTGTAACCCCCAATAATTATCCAATGAAATCCATGAGGTATTTTGTTTATGTTATTGCTCAGCGTAATGGCCAGAACCTATTAAGTAATTCGGTAAAAGTGTCTGGTTACCTACCATTTTACCTCAAATACTTACACAGGTATTACCCAGAACCTCTTTGCCATTTCAGTGTAATTATTTAACAGTCTTTGAACTCCCCATCATCATGTCCAAAACAACTAGTATTTAGAGCTTGTATGTCACACTTACCTGGTTAATATCTAGAACTCTAAATGAAACACACACCTGAGTTCAGCCAGTAGATCACTGAATACCTGGTCCAGGTTTACTGGAAGCCAGGTTCGAGGAAAACATGGCCCATCTGTAGGGCTGCTTTGAGAACCACAGCTATAGAGTCGTTGCTGTTTTACTGACCAGATCTGGGTTTCCCAAAAGTGTTAAGATGATTTTAACTGGTAGAGAGAGTTTTTAGAGTGATGCTCGCTCAGCCATTTAAGAATCTCCTTTGTACCGATGGCCAGGGCTTTTACACAGTGTGTCCTCATTGAAATGATCTGCACTGCTATCACCCGTTACTGTTTTAACTTACAGACTCATTCTAAGTTTCTGTATCACATCACACCATTTTCATAGCATTATTATATATTCAGCACATGCTTTAACTTTGTGGTTTTTGACCACTTGAGAGGTCATGCAGGGACAAAGCCCAGTGCACGCTAATAAAGCATCCTGCCTTGATTTCAGGAACACCCAGTTTTTAAAGAAAAAGGGAAGTGTGAAATGAAAAGTGGAAACAGGTAGTTTCAGTGGAGCAATTCTCACAGCATCTCTCCCAAAATAGAAGAAAGATCATTAATGCCAGCTGAATATTTTCTTAGAATGTATGACCAACAGCATCAACTGGCGTGAGCTGTATTCACTACACCATTTTATTTTCAATCACATTTCTATTGGTTTTTTATACACTGTAAATTGCACGAAACTGACTTTCAGGAAACTGACTGGCTCAGTTGTTTTCCAAGTAGTTCTGTAGTTTTTAAGTTGATAAAGCTGAATAGAATGTTATATAGGCAACACATGGAGTACTGAAATCTTAAATTCTACTATTTAAAGACACACATGACAAAAAATACATGCACTTGAATATGTTGGTACAAGTTGTGCTTGGTAACTTAGCATATTATTAGATAGCCAGCAAGCTAATGCTGATGTTCACTAACTTTACCACTAGTTAAATATAAACTTGTTACATTTACTCAGACATCGATGCAGTTCTTTTAACATTTAAACAAAGGAAAAGTGAAAAACAGAAATAGATTTCAGTGAAGGCAATCATCATTTGCTGCTTCAGAAAAGTCCCTTTAGCACCTAGTTATACTGTAGATCTTGTACTGTAATGTTTTCTAGAATTTAACACGAGTGCTGTATAAAATTGCCGTATAAAATGGTAAAACACATATAAAAGTATCGTACTGGCTTAAACACAGTACATTACTGTAGAAATTACAGATTTTTTGTTACAGTGCATTAACGTACAGAGGTACGCAAACCCTGAACTTTGAGACAGGTCATTAGTGATTTACCAGTTCAGTTTGATCTTGATGTGGATTGGTTAATCTGGGTATAGTTTGGCTATTTTTGCTATGATTTGGTGGTTTTTGTAATTTTTTAGCTGTTTTTGGTATGGTTTTGTAATGTTTTTGTATATTTATGGCTTTTTTGGTGTGGTTTGGTTATGCTTGGTATGGCTTTGGTAGTTTTTGATATGATTTGGTAGGTTTTATACATTTTTGGTTGTTTTTGGTATGTTTGGTTGCTTTTTGTACATTTTAAGCTGTTGTGGAATGGTTTGGCTGTTCTTGCTATGGTTTTGGTAGTTTTTGGTATGATATGGATTCTCTTGGCATGGCTTGAATATTTTTGGTATGGTTTGGCAGTATTTGGTATGATTGATTATTTTAGGTATGGTTCCATTTGTTTTTGGTCTGGTTTTGACTGTTTTTTGTAAATATTTAGCTGTTCTTGGTCTGGTTTTGACTGTTTTTTGATGTTTTCCTGCTTTTAATTTCGTTTGCTTATTTTTGATTTGGTTGTTTTGGGAATGGTTGGATTGTTTTAGTTATAGTTTGGTTGTTTTGGGTATGTATTGGTTTGTTTTTGATATGATTTTGGTATGATTTGGATGTTCTTGGTATTGTTTCAGTATTTTTCCTTATGGTTTGTCAGTTCTTGGCATAGTTCATTATATTTTTGGTATGGTTTGGCAATTTTTATATGGTTTAGTTGTTGTTGGTATGGTTCAGTTTGTGTTTTATGCTTTGGGTGTGATTTGTTTAGTCTTGGGATGGTTTTTGTAAATTTTTGACTGTTTTGGAATGGTTTGGTTATTTTTGGTATGGTTTGGTTATTTTTGGCATGGTTTGGCTGTTTTGGGTAGGGTTTGGCTGTATTTTGTAAATTTATGTCTGTTTGTATGATTGGGTTGTTTTTGGTATTGGTTTGGTTGTTTTGCCATACATTCAATAAATTTGGTCTTACCAGCCTATTGTCTGCTTTCTTGTTAAAATACTAAAATGCCTAAAAGCATGTTAAGTATTTCTAAAGGCCACTGTTGCCGTAGCTATGCGTTTTCTATTTCATTTTAATAGATGTTGCAATCACAAGGTAAATTTCTTTTATGCTCTTGTTCATGTTTTGTAAGGGAAGCTGTTCTGTGTGAAAGTTTTTTTGCACAGCTTTATCAGTTTAACAAGCACTTCTACATAATGTTCTGTTGTTAGACAACATATCAGGGCTGATTCAGGACTAAGAATAATGTTACAGATTAAAAGGAAACTTGTTAAAGAAAATAACTGAGACAAATACAATTTTTGTGCATCTTAAGGCCATGAACGATGTGTTTTCAGACATCTAATCATCCAGTTCGATTGATAATTGCAACAGTTGAAAATTATCGTCAGCTCATGATTTCTAGTCAGTGGTGCCTTTCCAGCTTTGCACAGAGTAGAGTGGGCTGACAAATTACGCAGCAATAGGTGGGTGTGGCATGCGCCCGCCCCCCGGGCCCCGACGATGACGGCCGCGAGAGCCGGCAGGAAGGCGGGGCCCGAACACCCAGCGGCGACGAACCTCGGCCAGGGCGGCAGGAAGAGAGCCGCGAGTGTGGAGGGGGCGGAGCGCAAAGCCCGAGCTCCTCCGAGTAACCCGAGTGACGGCGGCGGGAGGAGGAAGACGACGACGGTGCCGGCAACGAGAGGCACCAGGGGAAGGAGCGAGTCCCGAGCTCCGCCGCCTGGGCCCCGCCCCCTGTTACGCAGCGAGGCCGCTACATTACACCTCACGTTCGACCCGGGCGGCTGAGCTGCCAGCTGGGGGCGATGACGAGGAGGCGGAGCAGCGAGCTCTCGTTCCCTCTCGGCTCAGGTGCTCGCCTTGCGTGAGCGCCTTTTAAAAGAGCTGAGAGGGAACAGAGAGAGAGGGACAAGCAGCAGCAACAAGAGACTGAGGAGCTGGAAAGCTGAGGATAAAGGACTGAAAAGTCTAGCCTGCTTAGGCCACTGAAAAGTGGCCAGCATAGTTTGGTTGTTTGAGTTGTGTTTATTTTGTGGTGTGAATAAAAGAAATATGGCTGCTGCGACACTGAACCCTGCCTCCAGCGTCCTCCTTGAGCCCAGGGTAGCACATGCCGTGCTACAGTGGGCTACAGTCTATAACTGTACACCGACATAGTGGACTCATGTAGTAAGCATACATGATAAAATGGTTGTACTGCTTGATAAGTTTGCTACATTTTTAACGAGGAATGCTCCAACCTGTTGTCCACACTAACATTTTCTCTAAGCTGGCATATGCACAAAGCCTATAAAGGAACACTTACATTACCATGGCTTTTTTTGATACATATTACTTGCTATGACACTTCTGGAAACTCAGAAGTGGACTTGAGCAATGACTAGACTGAAAAAGAGGAAGATGTTTTCTACGAACTCTAGAATTGCATTCATAGCAAAACACAGAAACAGATATTAGGGAGGGGGAGCTTAACCCTCCCCTAAGATCAAATATAAATATCTGGCTGATTTTCCAGACACTGAGTTCATTTTTACAGACCACAGAGAGCTTCAGCTGACCTTCCTAAGACAACAAGACGCCTTAAACACATCTGCGTGAGTATAAGAAATAATGCAATGCGAAAATGTTGTTCACTTAGAGTCTTTTAATAGAATTTGTAGCATACTTGAATTAAAGGACCACTGTAAGAACAGCAGGGTGGTTTCTTACTGGGTGAGGGAATCTTTTGGTGTAAGGGTGAAGCAATGGGTGGGCAATATAACAGTTGTATAAATGTCAACTGACTGTGTATTAAAATACATATTTTGACCAACTACACAGACTGTAAGCAACAATTAGTATAATGAGTTATTTTACTCTCTGTGGAATATAAATTCTTGATGCATTTTTGTCAATGTATAGTTTTAATTCTTATTATCTTAATACAGTCATTTTACTAAATAACTATTAAATATTGAAAGAATCATCAACTTTGTACAAAAAAAAAGATATCTTCTGGTTTTCGGCTTTCTGATTTTGTTATTGTTCTCACTTCCATTTTGAAAAGAATAACCTTAAATATAGTGAGGCCTCCATGATGAATAGACATAGCAAAAATAGCTCCCTTTTTGTGTGAGATGGTAATTTTCAATTATGTTACGTAGAGCTCCTGAGTGGTGCAACTGTCTATAGGTCACCACAAACAGGATGCATCGCACTGGAGCATCTATGTTATCTCTCCTGTATTGCATAGAATGCATTGTGAGAGTTCATTTTTACATTCAAGTGACATTTTTAGACTTTTATAGTTACGTTTCACAGTTAATCGTACTGTAAGTGCTTTAATTCAAGTCTGTGATATTAATGATGGAGTTTTTTAGGCTCTTTAAGCCTGTTAGCTAGCTGACCAGCCTAGTTCTAGTGAAGAAAGTAAGCTGTCAGCCCTTCAGTTTAAATAAGAACAGGTTCTTACTTCATCAGTACACTCGGTGCTCCATGCACACATCTTTAAAGTCAAAGATTATTCCATTAACAGCACAAGGGTATTTCCGTGCTGTGGCGCAGTGATACAGAGTTCAGTCACCCTGAAGCGTCATATGCTTATATGACGGTGCTTATATCGTGGATTTTACAGTGGCTTTGAACACGGCTCAGCCAATCAGACTTTAGGACCAGAACTATCCATTTTACAATCCATGATTTGCTTTTATCAGCTCAGTTTTGCTTCACAGAGGAATTGGTAACGAATTGAAGCTGGTGGAAAGAGAATGAGATTAGAAAGAGAAAGCAGTGAGTTGTCAGATTTCCATTCATATTAGAGTAACATGGAGAATAATAGAGCAATGGAAATGGAGCATTATTGGACATTTTAGATTGAAGCTTGAAGTCAGTGCTACTGCTATCATTAAAGGGAGCTGTACGTTTCTCCAACAGGTTCTAACAGCTTTATTAGGACCAGCAACTCACCATCATCAACTCCTGTGAAACTCACCTGGTAAGTCTGCTAAACTTCCTCACATCTGCCTTTTTATACACAGAGCGCATAAAGGTTTATACAAACATTCAACCAGCAATGCAAAAACTAAAACATTTAGAATTTATATAGCGCAAGTAGCTAGCAGAATTATTATTAGAATCCATTTACTAAATTAAATACTTGAATGGATCCTATATTGTCCCCAACCCTGTTCAAAAAGAGGCCTAGTCTTGAACTACACTATAGGGCCAAAAGTCTGTGGACACCTGACCATCACACCTACATGAGCTTGTTGAACATCCCATTCCAAAATCTGGGCAGTAATATATATTTATACTTATCTATTTATATTTTATATAAATAAATATTTTTTTAGATGTTAGAATAGATACAAACACACAAATGAACAACCCAGTAAGATTTTGTGTTTTAAGAGTGTGTTTTCCAAAAATTCTCTTCAAGGAAGCCCAGAATTCATGGCTACCATCCAATACCGAGATTGAATCTCAACTATTCCATACTACTCTCTCTTTTCCTCTTCTTCTACAACCTAAGAATAGCTCAGCCAGTTTGCATTGTAGTCTCTGTAGTTACTGAATAATAAGCCTCAGTATGTAATAAGCCTGGGGTTTCATGAGATTAACTTGTTTGCAACCATTCAGGTTTTATTTTATTGAAAATGCTGATTTAGAACTCTTCAACAGCAATTCCAAACATTTTACATTTTTACATACATTGGTACAAATACTTTGCCATGGAATTATCTAATGAAATCTTATCAAATTGATACAAATATAATGAAACCTAATCAAGTGAATACACACTTGTATATACAGTTTAAAATATTCTATTCATATTTGTTTGTGCCTAGCCAAAATACTAACTGTATATCCAAAATAGTAACTTTACAGGAGAAGGCATAACTGTGTGTTGGTTTATGCATCACTGGCCTGTGCATGATACATAATATTTGTACATAAATGCTGTTGAAACAAAACCTTGTATCTCCAATATCTCCAAAAAGGTAACTTTACAGGAGATAGAAAAAGACAGTTAATTTTTTTATGGAAGTTAATGGAAAAAATATTTGTTCGTATCTATTGGTCCATTGATCATAATCAATTGTTTTAAATAATGGAAAACAAGAAAAATGAGGATACTGTACTGTGGTAATCCATCTGTACAGGGCCTTTGTCGTTGAACCCAACTGAAAATCATCACATTTATTCTATGGTTAATAATATACCTTCTCCTCTTCTCTACAGGGTTTAAGATGAAGAGGGGAGCACTCCTTTGCTGTTTCGCTCTGTGTCTGGTCATGGTCAGAGGGTCCACCATCAAGGCCCTGAAAAATATAAAGGAACTGAAAGAATTTGCCAGTTTTGGTAAACAATTCCCACGACATGGTCTGATGCTTCTGCACTGGTTTGCCAGCCATACTGCAGTAATTCAAAGGGAAGAAATCCACCTTAATCAAAAGATCAGTCTGACTCGAGGAGATTATGGCTTCCATGAATATGTCAATGACATCTCTAATGCAAACGCTAGGAAACCAACATTTCCCGAATTGTCCCACAACATGAACAGATCGTACTATACTTTGGGCAACCTCAATCATGCTTCCCAGTTGCCCTGGTATGTCAGACAGGATCATGACAACTCACAGGGACATCCTCTAGGAAACACAGACAGGCTTGTAATCAGGGTTCACAAGAATGACCCATATATAGTAGATGAAGTCTATATTTCGCAGCATTCCAAGGACAGAAATCTAGGCATTAGGTATGACCCACAAAACACCTTCAGAGTCGATCCATTTCTCCTGAAGCAAATTCAGGGCCTCAGTCATACTGAAACATGTAACCAAAATGATCCTAGAGCATCGCTTTCTGCATTGGAATACTGGAAGCACCAAAAACGAGTTAGCGAGTTGCAGAGCGTACATCCACCCACAAGAGGTTTGGGATGGTTTATGAGCCTGGCAGGTTATAACGTTACTGATAGACTCACTCGGTTTTCACAATCCTTTTTCTGCTCAACCAGTAAGATTCACGGTAACAGTCATTCACGTGACACAAAGCCCAAATGTAAGCAACATAATAGGATAAAATTAGAAATGAAATCGACCTCAAATGGATATGCAAGGATCTCATGGAGTGGGATACCAGAGTACATCCTGAAAATGGAAAGCAGTGTTGGTCTTTCTAAAGACAATGTTTACCCTCTTGATAGAAGACCATATGGAGCCATTGACACTAACTGGGTTGTGAATCCTGGCCTTCAAGTAAAGCTCATTATTCATGACAGAGTCGCCTGGATGGGCCCAGAGTTTAACGATGCCAACGGGGTTCTTCCTACCAATATTCAAGGTCATAATGCCAGTCTGCAGCTGTTTACCAAAGACGGCTATGCTTGTGCCCGACTTTTCATTAAGAAGTCCTGCGTAAAAAACTGGCAGGTTGTCTTTGAGAACTCTTGGGTTGGATTCTACAAAAGTTCACTAGATGAAAATCGTTCATATAAAAAATATCAATGGGTTAGAAAGTTTGAGAAGAACTCCGGCCAGGATTTCTCGGACGATTATGACATCTTTGAATATAAGTCGGGTCTGGCAATTCAACCTGGAGTACAGCTACGATTCCTGAAAAACAAAGGCTACCTTAATGAGAAAGCTCGCACTGAACCCTGGGAAGGTGTCATCAATCCTGACGCTCAGAGTTAGTTACGGTAAAAAATAAAAAAATAAAGGTAACTCTGAAAGAAGGATTTGGGGATACATACAGTACACTCTTAGCAAAAAAGGGTTTTATATATTAGCAAAAAAGGGTCTTTGGCCTGGAACAATAGTAGATCCGTTTGTGGTGCTATATAGAACTCTTTTTGAAAAGGGTTTTATATAGAACCATCTACAACACGTCCTCCATCAATCTGGAGAACGCTTTCACCCTTTAATCATGCAAAGAGTTCTTTGAGTGTTCATGGCTCTATATACAAACATGTTCTTTACTAAAAAACCCTTTGAGAACCTTTTTAAAGAGTGTATTTAGCAGATTCACTTGTAAGCCTTTTTTCTGAATCTTGAATAGTTTTAGAGGCTCAAAATGACAGAAAATACTTGATTTCAATGTAAGAATCAATGTGGTTTATTATAAGATATGTTATGATTGCCTTGTTCCCCAAACATACTATATATTTGCAAGAGGTGCCCAAAATAATAGACAATAACTAGGCAAAATAATGAGTAGCAGTTCGCTACTAAATAACTTCACCACCACTTGATAATCTATGTTGCATCATGTTTTTTGTAAGGAAAGGAAGCTTTTAGATGTTTTGAATGTTACAAAATATGTGGATATAATTCCTAGCGTGGTTGTGTGAGGCATCCTAATTAGACGTGAACGTTTTTCCTGTAACTGGGCATTCTGACCTACTACAAACAGACTTTCAATAAAAATCTGCAAAGAGAAATGGTTTCCCTCCTTTCACTTTTTGCATTGATTGCATTGTCATTTACATATAATGCAATTTATATTATAGTGTTTGATAAGTATGTGATTTATAGTTTAACCACCCCTGGTCAAATGAGGATGTGTTGACTTCACTATAATAATCGATTCCAAGTCAACACATGACTGTATGTGTCATATACACAAAACCTTATGTATCCATTTCTTTATGTTTTCACCTCATTTGAAAATACCAGCTGCCACGTACACAGTGTGGAAATTTCATAATGAACAGAGCAACAGAAACAGTCCAAAACTGCTTGGAATAAAATTTATAGTTTATCCCCTTAAAATTGCCATCTTATTGCATTCTAAGGCTTATTATTCAGTAACTACAGGGACTCCAATGCACACTGGTTGAGCTCTTCTTAGGTTATAGAAGATTGTAATAAAACTTGGAGCTTGAAAGTTATGTTTTTTTTTCTCCTTTAAAGTTGTAATTTTAATGAGGTTTTGCTCTAAAACCAATGATGCACATGACATGGTTCTAAAATTACTTTTTTTATATACACAATCATAAATTATACAGTGCATGCAAAGTACTACGTGAACAACAATAAATTATTATTATGATATTAAGTGCCAGGGACATGAGAAAGGTGGGAGGCTGAAATTTTAACCAGCATGCATGTGACTTGAATTTTTTAGAATTTACATCAAACAGAATGAGTCATATTGTGCCACAATCAAGCAATAGATGGCAAAATACACCGATCATAACATGACCACTGCCTTGTTTCTACACTCATTGTCCATTTTATCAGCTCCACTTACTATATAGGTGCACTTTGTAGTTCTACAGTTACAGACTGTAGTCCATCTGTTTCTCTGATACTTTGTTACCCTGTTCTTCAGTGGTCAGGACCCCCATGGACCCTCACAGAGTAGGTATTATTTGAGTGGTGGATCATTGTCAGCACTGCAGTAACACTGACGTGGTGGTGGTCTGTTAATGTGTGTTGCGTTAGTCTGAGTGGATCAGACACAGCAGTGCTGCTGGAGTTTTTAAACACTGTGTCCACTCACTGTTCACTCTATTAGACACTCCTACCTTGTCGGTCCACCTTGTAGATGTAAAGTCAGAGACGATAGCTCATCTGCTGCTGCACAGTTTGTGTTGGTCATCCTCTAGTCCTTCATCAGTGGTCACAGGACGCTGTTGCCTGGATATTCTTGGTTGGTGGACGATTCTCAGTCCAGCAGTGACACTGAGGTGTTTAAAAACTCCAGCAGCACTGCTGTGTCTGATCCACTCACACCAGCACAACAAACCCACCATGTCAGTGTCACTGCAGTGCTGAGAATGACCCACCACCCAAATAATACCTGCTCTGTGGGGCTCCTGACCGTTGAATAACATTGAAAAGAAACTTTACCAAATGTTTCAGTAGTGTCTGTTTCGGTATTGACAATTTTAGCTCATTTTGAGCAAAAACTCTAGCCAGTACATGACTAGCAAACGCAGCTTTTAACAGCTGTACACACATAAAATTATTATGATTTTTATTTAAACAAGAAAAAAGTACTTACTTGCAGAAAATCTGTGTTTCGGTAGGGAAAATTCTTAATGTTCCACACAGATTTTCAGACTTTGGGGCACATTTACTTCAAAACAATGGGATCTAACTGTTCACCATGCGGCCATGAGGGACAGGGATGCAGCCTCACTTCCTGCTGAAAAATGCAGGGGCGTGGCTAAAATAAGGCTCCACTTACAGGCTAAAATTCTATGTTTCGGTAGAGACATGAAAATGTGGCACAGCATTTTTTGGACAGTTTTTTTTTATTTAAAATATTAAAACTTTAAACTATAAATCTAAATAAATAAATCTAATCACCTTTCGAGGAAAATTAGTACAATATTTTTAAAAAACTACAAAGAAGTATTTTCACAATGTCTCTATTAATACATTGCATTGAGTTTAAATAGATCATAACATAATCACTGTGAATCTCATTTCTGAACACTTTTTTTAGATTTACTGTGGGACTGCAGCTTTTTTCTAATCATGTGACGTTGCTTCCTGGAGCCTGCTTGCATAAGACAGTCTTGCTTCTAGGCTACTTTTAGCATTTGTTTTTCAAGTGAGACACAAAATCCATGGATGAGATTCCCTGAGACCTCCGTAATTAAACTTGGGACGGAGTTCAACAGTAACTGAAGTGAGTATAAGAAGAAGCTGTTTATATCCTATGTTCTATCTATATCTATCCTATGTTTAGATGCTCGCTGTGATGAAATCACTGTAATGCACAGCTTCAAGTGGCTTATTGCCATTATAAAATGGCAGCCAACAAAAATTATGATAAAAAAAAACAAATTTTTTCAGAAAGAAATTGAAGTTGTTGTTATTAATAATAATCAACATAAACAAGTATTCCACCAAGAAACGTAGTTTCTTTAGAGTATGGTATCACTGCCAAGCAACAATGGACTGCTGACACTTCTGCCCACTTTAATGCAAAATAAAACAAACTATGGCCTGGGCAAAAGTGATGGCATATTTTATATTTAATAAATTTCCTATGTTAAACTCAGCAAAAAAATAGTAATTGTGCACTAATACTTAAAATATTTAAGCATGCGGCTCTTTTACTGCAGACTGCTGGTCACCATAGCAGCACAGACAATTCCACCTATCTAGTAGGTAATGAAAGTTTTCCTGCCGGAGATACGAGAAAAGCAGCGATTGCTGAGCTAAAGCTTAAAGCAGAACAAAGTAAGCCTACGTTTTTGTTCATGTTATACATTTTAGTCTATACTAGTAGATTTGCACATACTGAGACATATTTACAGCCAAGATGGTAAAATGGACATAGAATGTTGTGGTTAGATTTTTGTTAAAAGGACAAAATGGCTCTTCTTAAGATTTGGGTTGCGACTCTTGATCTACAGCTTATTTTCACTTAGAAAATCGACAAAACACACAAAGTGACCAGCGGTGTTCAAATTTTTGCACACAATACACTGAGTAGGGAATTAGGTATTTTCATGGTAACTCATGATGTCTCCACACTGTAAAAAATCAGCTTAAATTTGTTGGCCTACATGGCATTTCATGGTTACCTGAACAATACTTTTGAAATATACTGGGTTACAATGTTAATTTCACTTAGGGCAAGTTGCCCCAACAAGGATTTAGCTTAAGCTTGGATTAAATCAAGGTTTGACTGTTAGTCCTGTTGCACCACACTTTCAACATTTTTAAAAACCAGGGTTATATTTCAACTTCTAAGTGAAGTGGTTTAGTTTAAAAATGTGTGCAAAACAAAAACCGTTCTCTTTCTCTCTAAGTAAAACTATATATAAAGCACCTCAGGGAACTGGCTTGTAACTCACACACTCACTCAATGGTAGACAGAGTGCAGATTCTTCCCAAAAGGGGGCGCTATTATCACACAAGTAGCTTTTGTGTGCATCACTGAAATAAAACAAAAAACACATCAGCGGGAACTCACTAATGCAGGTATGTTTGCAGTTACAGACTGTAAGTATATAAAATAAATGACTCATAACAGACTAAATATTGTAACATAGGGGGGTCCATGGGGGTCCTGACTAAATATTGTAACAAATCTTTTTGTCCATATAACAGGCAGAAGTCAACACACACACACACACAAAGCGAAGTTTGAAAATAGGGAAATAACACAAAAGGAAAAAGGCTCAGTAACTCAGGTAGAAACACAGAGACTTCACAACAACAGAAAAGCAAAGGGCTTTAAATGGGAGTCTTTATGTCCTTGAAATGAGCAGCAGGTGTGTGAGACAGGAGGAGAGTGGGTGGAGCCAGAGACAGTCCAAGTGAGCCTCCCCAGAATGAGATAGACAGGACAAATATAGCTCAGGTTGTTGAAGCAGTTGATCTAATGTGAACAGCCTGGCAGACAGCTAACAGGCTAGCAGACTACTCTGATAACATTTGGTGTTTGTTTTGATTAATTAATTATTGGACTTTCAACTGTAAAACTGGCAATACTTGGGGTCCAACGTTAACACCCCACACACACATTTAGCAATATAAAAAACAGCTCCTAAAATTTAAAAGCACTTTGGTTGACACTTCTGTTAACTAGTGACAACATGCAGGAATGCAAACAAGCTTTTCACCAAGGCAGAGACTACAAAGCAAATTGTCAGACACTTGGCAAAACAATCATTATACGTTCACTGTCCAGTTACTTCTACATTAGACATGTTCATATTTATGTACCTAATTCACAATGAATGGCTTATATTAGTAGGGTAGCTAGTTGGGTAGGATGACCAGATGTCCCCATTTTTCAAGAACAGTCCCTGTTTTTGGTGGCCTGTCACTGGCTGGACCTGTCCCCAGAAATGTCCCCATCATGTAGCTATGACTTAAAAACACACCAGAAAATCGCAAGAAAGACCTGGTAGCAGAGGATGTTGTTGCTGCTGCTGCTGCCGCCGTCTACAAAACTTGACCAAAAGCTCGCAAATGTTGAGTCCACAACATCATCACAAATGTCTTTAAGACATAAGGTCACCCATGGATTAAAGCAGAACTGGGGCTGCTTCGGGGTGTGTTTAGGGTCGGCTACTGGGCTACAGCCATGGGTCTTTCTTCTGCAGCCACGGGTCTCTTTTTACTGACAAAATATTTCATATGAATATGCATTATGGGCTAATACAACCACTGAATCTTTTGTGGTAAACGTATCTCTGCCTCATTCCTGCCTGAGCTGCTACTGTATGATTTTCTGACACTGTTTACAAAGTTTACAAAGTTACTTAGTTAGTACACAGTTTTATCAGTCAACGTTCACCACGGTTTATTACAGTTAAACAGTTAACATTGTCAAAATAAGAAACTGGAACTGTCCCCCATTTTTCATTACATAGATAAAACCTTGGATATTTTAATGATTTATTGACTGCCAAACTGGACGTGTCCAGTTTTCATTTCAGAAATCAGGTCACCTTATAGTTGGGTAAAAGTTTTTACACCACCTTATATTCAAGTTGCATTAAGTACATTTTAAACTGAACCCATTGACTGAAATTTTCAGCAAAAAAACAACATCACATAAATCATCAAATAACAAATAACACTGCTTTTATTACTGGTTGCAGAGTTTCATGTTCCAAACATGACTGACAGTCATTACCATGGAGACTGGGTGAATGTGCAAAGCTAGACAGTCATCATATCAAGCAGTTGCCAGCTCTGCACAATGTGACAACAGTAAGGATTTCAGAGCAAGAACAATTTCAATTGACAAAAGTTCATGTCAGCCTTTCAGTATCAGGCAGATCTGTCTTTCTGTCTTCATAGCACTTTTTTCACAAATCACCTACCCCTCCACGTCACACTAAAAAACAACAACCTGTGGTCTAACTGTGGTTGGCATGTCAGTCAAGTTGCCCTTTTTCTGTCAAAGTAGGCAGTTCTTGTTCACATAGAGCATGGAAATCTATCAGACTCTCTGGCAATAGGAAAGGTAGCCTTGCAACTCTGCCACTCCATTGTTTCTTATTTGGTCTAATCGGTTTACTTGTGTTTTATTTGGTCTCAGCCAATTTCGACATCTAGTTGATTTTCTTGCCGCTTTTTGAAGTGGGCACAAACCTAGTTGTTGCCAGTATACCTGTTGAAATTGTTGAGCTTGTTGAGCTGAGTGGCTGAGTAAGAGGTGTTTCAGTCATGTTTCAAATGAAAACGCACCAGACCCTCAATCACCTCCTGCTGTCCACTTTGTTTTGGACATATAAAGGAATGGCTGGACTTCTGGGGTTAGCCTTAGCTTAGCATGGACACCAGAGCGGACACCTTGCGGCCTTATTTGCAAAACATGCTGTGGTTTAAGAGGTACTGACAGCTGTATTACGGTAATATACCAATTTCCAGCGTCTGACAGTCAGAGGTAAACAAATGGACACTCAGAAAATCACTAAGCACTGACCCATCATGCCGGAAACCCTTCATTCTTCATTCAGTCCACATTGAAGACACATGTGAAATGGCGTGCAGAGTTTACAGCTGCTGATGTTGCTGCAGTAGTGGAAAGTAGTGACATAGATAACAGAGCATTTTGATAGGAAACATATGAGTATCTTGTTATATGGAAGTGCCTTTAAAGGAGAGTTTGACAAGATCAAGAGCATTTTAATAAGCAACATTATAAATGGGGATGGGAAAAGTTAAGGAACATCCTAGAATAATAAGCAACTGAGTCATTTAGTGTGTTTACATGCACTCAATAATCAGATCATAATCAGATTTCTGTAGTTATCTGATTATTCAAATGGTCATGTAAACAGCACACTCTGATTTCTTAAATCAGAGTAAGGTCTGATTCCGATTAAGAAATCTGATAAAGAGGCTGGATTTTAGCTCAGTAATCCGATTTCTCAGTGCATGTGAACTCTTACTCTGATTTCTTTCGGATTTCTCAGTCTGCGCATGTGTGAAAACAGACGGTGGTACCAGTAATAAGCGAGAAGCGTCACCGCGAGACACAACAAAACACTTTGAGTGATGCTGAAACCATCTAAATGCTTTAAGAAATGAAGTATTTAAATATTCTTCATCTTGTACATGATGTATGTTCATATTTTCAGGTAAAGTGGTGCGATGCTGCAGCACGAATTTTGAGTTTAAGTTGCATTTACATCACGTCTTCTGCTGTGAGTTTATTGGTTGGTTTCAAAGCAGAACTCTGATTACTGCCTGACTCATGTAGACCTGGAGTTTCCCCATTATCTGATTACTCAGGTGCATGTAGATGTAGTAGTTGATCAGATTACTGTCAAAATCTGATTTTCTTTAATTAAATCAGATTTAGGTTCAAAATAGGTTCACTTAAGCATCTAAAAACCTAAAATCAAGCACTAGTTAACAACGCTGTTGCTAATTTCACAGTTGAAAGATGAAGATAATCTGTATACAAAATGTATTAGATTTTCTGCAAGTAAATATTTGCCTTTCCTTTTTCCTCAGGTTTTAAGATGGCGAGGACAGCACTCCTTTTCTGTCTCTCCTTCTCTCTGGTCTTGACCAGTGTTGGTGCCATCAAGACGCTGAAAAACATTAAGTACCTGAAGAAACACACAAACTTTGTCAAGGAATTGCCACGACATGGTCTCATGCTCCTACACTGGTTCGCCAACATTGTAGTAATTGATGGAAATGGTGCGATACAGCTTAGCTTTGATCCAGGACAGGGCAGCTATGGACTACATCTCTACAGAAATATGATGCCTGATCAAAATGTTAAAGGAAGAGCACCTTCTAGGTCTGAAAGTCGTTATTACTCTTTGGGTGATCTCAGCTGTGGAAGAGCTCGAATGTTGCCGTTTTATGTAATGCAGGATTTCCATAATTCGAAGGGATCTCAATACGGAAACATAGACAGGGTTCTGATCAAAGTCCAGAACGACAGTCCACAAAGAGTCGACAAAGTGTACATAACTCAGAAAAGCCAAGGAACCGGCTTTGACCCAAGCAAGACCTATGAGATTAGCGCTCAACTCCTGATCCAAATTCGAGCGCTTCGGAAGAACATTGCATGTAATGCAGATGACCCTAGACTGGACTTTAGCCCATGTGAATTCTTGAATCATCAACAAAAAGCTGCAAAAATAGAGATGATGTATCCCAAGGCACCAGGTCTCGCCTGGTTTCTGACTCTGGCTGGTTACAACATCGACCAAAGGTCTGATAAATTTTCAACTCTCTTCTGCTCAACAAACATCTCCAATAGCAACTACTACCCACTTTCAACTGAAGACAATGAAAGACAGTGTTTTGTGCACCACAGGATAAAGCTAGAGGTGAAATCCACATCAACAGGGTTTGCAAGGATCACATGGAGCGGAATACCGGAAAGTATCGCCAGGATAGACATAAACGTAGGTCTTTATGAAGATGGTACCAAAGAGGAACCTTTGAAAGAGTGTCCACTGAATGGAAGAACATTTGGATCCATAGACACTACGGTTCCCCTGAACCCTGGCCTTCAGGTACATCTACTACGGAGCGAAAAGACTTTGCACTACCTTCTTTTCAGCACCACACACTACACAAGCATCTGGAAAGGCCCAGAGTTTGACGAAGCCAATGGGATTCTTCCAACTAGAGTCCGAGGTTATGATATGAGTCTGCAGCTTTACACTAAAGATGGCTACGCATGTGCTCGACTCTACGTTAAGAAGTCCTTCATCAATTGGAGAAATGTCTTCGACAACTCATGGGTGGGATTCTACGCTAGGTCATCAGATGATAATGACAAGTACAGCAAGTACGAGTGGGTTGTAAACTTTGAGAAGAGGTCAGAAGAAGACTGCCCTTCGGATTTCGACATCTACGAGAGTGAGTCCAGTCTAGATATTGGTCCTGGAGTCCAGGCTCGACTCATGCTGACAAACCATATTGCCAGTGAGAAAGCCCGTACTGTCCCCTGGGAGGAACGTTCAACCTTCAAACAGTAGCTAGATTGTCCTAGGACAACTTTAGGACAACTTTCTCTAGATCTCAGTCTATATGGCTTTATTCTCAAAGTGACTAGATTTCTTAGATGCCTATGCCTTACATCACATTTTACTATGTGTCTAGGGATAGATATACTCCATGTCTTCATGTTTTGTCTTAAAATCCTTGGTTAGCGTGCTTCTCTTGCTTCACCTTATGTTATTTCCTTCAACCTCAGGCCTGCTCTTGGACTAAATGGTACACATCAACAATTTACAATTTAAAAATCTTTAGTCTAAACCAGTGATCACCAACCTGGTCCTGGAGATCTACTTTACTGCAGAGTTTAGTTCCAATCTGCTTCTAACATGCTGCACCTCCTCACCTACCACTAATGCATCTGATCCATGCAGTCAATGACTTCTGAAGAAGTTAATTAGTTGGAGCAGGTGTGGGTTTAAGTAGGCTCTACAGGCAGGTAGATCTCCAGGACCAGGGTTGGTGACCACTGGTCTAGGATTTACTATTGGGAAACTTGATGGTCCTTGGTCATACAACTGTCCGTCAATAAGCTGTGTAAAGAAAGTGAAGGTTATTCCACACCAGCTCACTGAGGGCCTGGCAGGTCCCATTATGGTTTTCCCTAAAACATCTTTATACAACTTCAGAGCTGGGCCCTGAATAGTTTTTAGCTATGGTGTTGTACAGTTTGGCCCAGCAGGTTCTGATTGCCAGGATAAATATGAAGTTTCATTGCGTAAAAGATGGCCGACTTGTGGGCTCCAGAGTGTCACCACTGTCTAAACGTTGGAGCATCAGGAGATCATGAGTTCAATCCCTGATGATGCTACAGTCATCCCAGCCATTGTCTGGAGTCCAAGAAGAACATTATATTTATGGTAGTAATTAGAGTTTGTTACCATTATTTTACCTTTTTTACCAACTAGTTACTGCTGCAAATAACAACTTCTTTTTTAATAACTACAAAATGATCATCTGATTTCTTGGTTAGTACACATTTTTACCATAACATTACCAATTTAGTGGACTTGTTATTGCTACATTCAGTAACTTATTATTTATTAACAACTAGAAAATGTCATTTTTAGGTTAGTACAACTTGGTACCATAATGTTACCACATCATTTCCTACTTATTGCTGTGCTGTAAAGTGCTACCATTGGATTGATCATTAATTAGGAATATATGAAACCTACATTTTGAAAACTGACTAAAAAAAAAAATGTATGTATTTGCAGATGTATTTTTGACTTTTTAAAATCTTAAAGTAGGTCATATTTGTACCTGGTTTAAAAAGGTTAATTGTTCCATACACAGTTAACTTCAGTACTTAAAATATAATATAGAACCTGCTAGGGCAAACCTTCATGACAAAATATGATTGTTTTATACACAGTTTTGAAATGCAGTACATGCCCTGTGATATTGAAGCACGTAATTTTCTAACTGGCATATTTAAAAAACTTTTTCACTTTGTACACTAATCCAAACTTGGGGTTGTGCTTTAAATGTATGCTTATTCTAAACATTGCTTTGAGAGTTTCTGTTGCAGGGACAGGGTTTTAGGCTGGTTCACTTGGCAGGAGTAAAACCAAATAGAAAACAGCTGCCTGAACAAACAGCCATGCACACTGGACTTGTTTGCTAGAATTCTTTCCTCTGCATACCATGAAAACACTGCTGTTATCCTTGTTAGCAAACACTGCATCATAAGAGTCTCAGTGATGAAGTTATTCAAGGCACAATGAATCCCCAGCTGTCATTTAACAGCTATTCTCTGAATCTATCAGACTGTAGATTAGGACTCATTTTTTCATAAATATTTCTTGCATTGATCACAGTTGGCTTAAGATCTTTATTAGTGTAATTAGCAGATTTGGTACAGAACTCAGGCCTTCCAGGAAAGGTCCAGAAAACTGACCCTTTAGGTTGCAGAACCTTGATTTATAGATCTCTGAAGTCTCATCTCTGTCCAGGAAGTTTCACCTATTTAACAAACAAGACGAAAATCAGGTAGACTATCAAAGTATTTGTTGCCTTTCATATCATTTACTTTTAACCACAGTATTAATTGTATTAATATTTTAATTCTATTAATATTTTAGATGATACGTTAGATGAATTATTGCATGTAGCTAACTTGCTTACCAAAATGTAGCTGAGCTGTATTAAAAATGAAATTATGGCAGCTGTCAGAAATCTGATCAAGCTTGTTTTTGGTGCCATTTCAGTCAAGAAGAGCACAAATAATTCCTGCCAGATTTTCCCTCAAACAGTTTCAACATTAAGGCTTGCTGGTGAAGATAAAATACACTTTTGCATTAACATAGGGCCTCCTGGTGAGGCACCGATATCGGTGGCCCTGTCTGTGCGTTTTCTTGGTCTACCTCTTTGTGGCTGGGTTGCTGTTGCTCCTAGATGCTTCTATTTAACAATAATAGCACTTACAGTTGTCTAGGGCAGATCTAGCAGGACAGAAATTTAATGAACTCACAAAAGGTGTCATCCATCTTAAGATAGAGCCAAGTTTAAAGTCACTGAGCTCTTCAGTATGACCCATTCTACTGCCAGTGTTTGTCTATGGAGACTGCATGGCTGAGCACTTGATTTTGTACACCTGTTAGCGATAGCCGTGGCTGAAACACCCGAATCCAATCAGGATGGGCGTCCACACACATGTATAAGTGTAAATTAGCTGAAATTGCTTTTTTGCATATATATCTAGACATGCAATTTATATAACATTTAGAAAGCTGTATCATGATGCTTGTAACAAATGAAATCAGTCAATAAAATTTAATTTATATTGCATTATCCTGTGCTTGTCTATCACATGTATTAGCACTTGAGTATTAAAGCTAACTCAATCAATTAAATTGTGATTCTTACTAAATTACACATCACTCATAGCAAATGGCCAGTACACCTTAACTGGACATACCGACTGACTTGCATTTTAGTAGAAAGATAACTTCAGTAAACCTCAGGCTTTAGCAGAGCTCGGATCTCACTGAGATTAATAACTGATCACAATGATTTATCAGTCTACTCTATTTTCTGAGACCTCCAAAATTAAACTTGGGACTTGGGGGTTCAGCGGTAACTGAAGTGAGTATAAGCTGCCTGCTGTGTATATATATCCATCGTTCTGCATTGGGATCACTATCAGTATCACCTCTTAAAAGGTTTATGGTAAGACGTCTTTAAAACAAGGCAAATGGGAAAACTGATAAATGATAATCCCAATTTCAAAAAAGTTTCGACAGTAGGTACAATGCAAATAAAAACAGAAAGCAGTGCAGTGATTTGTTAATCTATTTTGACTTGTATGAAATCAAACAGCACAATGATGAGATGCAATGTTTAACCTTATCAACATCGTTATATTATAAACATTGGCTCATTCTGAAATTGCAGCCTGCAACAAAGTTGAGCATCCAGGAAAGGCCTTATTCTGATCCACTAGAGGTGGGGGCCACTGGTTTAACCCCTAAATTACTACAGATATACACATGCATGTAACATTTATAGCTTGCCTGAGTGTTCTTGTGCTTATGTGCATGAGATTATACATTGTACATTAGCTCACAGTAAGCAGCACAAACACCAATCAGACTCATGGCCATTTGTTACATTTCATTTTGTACAAAATGCACTCAGAAAAAGGGATCCCACGCAATCTGATAAGCAGCTAATATGCATTTTATTTTATACATTCTCATCTGATTTATGAGCTCCGAGTCTGAAATTTAGCCGTCAACATTCACCTCACACTTCTGTGACTGTGGTAAGTATAGCAATACAAGACAAGCGGAGCAGCAAAAATAAGCATCTGTAGAATTTATTTAAAAAACATTTTATTTCTGAGCTTCTACATCAGTTAAAGTATTTTTCGTCATTCAGGGAGATCGTCAGTCTGTAGCGCTGGTCCCGCTGTGTTTCCCCCAAATACGCTCGGAAGTCCAGCTGCTTTCGGTCATTCAGCGCAGTTTTCTGCCAGTGACCGCTCCTCTTCCTCAGCCCCTCAGACAGCATCTCTCCGCCACTGTAACGGTCATTCCTGAGGACAGAAAAAAATCCTTAAGCACTGACGCTAAACTAAACTGAACGCTACTAAACAGTGAACAGCCACTATTTTAAACTGGACTCTCTCGTTTTGAAGAGCTGGCGCGTTTACTCAGTTAGCCCGGTAGCTAAGCTAATTAATGCTGGCTTTACCGAGCTACAAACGCAGCCGGTCAATTCGCCTTAGACACGCGAACTGCCAGAACTTCACCACAGGAACAATATCTAGAGACCTACAAACACAAATATGTTAACTACTTCACACAAATACAACAACCATTCAAAACAGTACGGACAGAAGTGAAGAAATAACTTACATTTCTAAACTCAAAAGGTCCGCCATGTTTATCAGACCGGCGTGATGGAACTCTCAGCAGGTGAACGGTATTGTGGGATTGCCTTCGCTGAGAAGGATACATGCGATGCTGCCTTCAGATTTGGTCAAAATAAGGCAACTTAGAAGGCAGCTGCCTTATGCTGCCCTCCTGAATGGGACAGCACTTGTCTCGGGAGCAGGCAAATGCTGCCTTAGAATGCTGCCTACTTAGACAGCTGCCTTCCGCACTAAGTGAGTACTCCTTGACTCCCCCCAAGTAACCCCTATGGTCTGGCTTTATACTCTAAGCCCTGCCCTTACTGAGGCTGGAACATACCAATACAGATGATAGGCCTAACAATACACCACTGAGTTACTATTAACCAATAATATATGCACAAGCAATATCAGCAATATTTACATGGTCATTTTCCATTTCAATACAATAAGAACATTCACATTTAACTATAGCTTTTCTTTTCTCTCTCCAGGTTTACGCCGGCTCTGCTCCCCCTCTCCAGGACAGCTGTGATGTCACCCAGCTCCTAAAATCCTTTTGCTTTGAGTGACCCTATTCCTTAATTATGTTAATGGAAATGATTGATTGAACATTCCATTTTGTCACTAACAATCATAACGCTACCGAAACTTCATCAAATGTTTCAGTAGTGAGTGTTGAAGTCAAGAACGCTAGCCAGTACAGGACCAGTTTTGAACAGTCAAAACACACATAAAATAATCTTTTTATTAAAACACAAAAAATATTACCTAATTGCAGAAAATCTGTGTTTCGGTAGTGACAATTCTTAATGTTCCACACTGATTTTCAGATTTTGGGACACATTTACTTCAAAACAATGAGATCTAACTGCTCACCATGTGGCCATGAGGGACAGGGATCCAGCCTCACTTCCTGCTCTAAAATGTAGGGGTGTGGCTAAAATAAGGCACTGCCTACTGACTAAAACACTTTGTATTTCAGTAGTGACATGGAGGAAAAAGTTTCAAATGTAATCTAAGTTTATTAAATGGAATTAAATTAAAACTCATGACAAATTGGAATCTTTCAACTTCACTTTAAAAGAAATCAAAAAGATCTTTGTGAAAACAATATTGAATTTCGTTAGAGGTTGGAATTTGAGACATCTTCCAATAGAAAGTACAGATATCTATGGTTATATATACATTATATATATATATATATATATATATATATATATATATATATATATATATATATATATATTATTCAACTGTTTTGACTAACGCTTCAATCCATCTCTATCACACACCACACACACACCAACTTCTTATGAGATTTTCAACTAAAAATGGAAGCAGATGTCTGACACTTAAATAGCTGCAGGACTTGCAATGTGTTTTTTTTCCTAATATATAATAATAATAATTATAATAATAATACAATATATTTTGACACAGAATGAAAGAGGAGACCTATGCTTCACCCTACATAATCGTGAAAAAACCCTTACATGCATACATACATACATACATACATGCACATATTTATTCCGTTCTTTATGCTACAGAAAGAAATGCATGGGAAACGGGAAGAAGCAGACCAGTTTGCCAAAATTTTATTGAACAGCTGATATCCAGTTACATTAATAAGCTTATATTTGCAACAGTATCTCTTTCCATGTATGTAATAACAACAACAACAACAACAACAACAACAACAACAACAACAACAACATGTATGTTGTCATACAATGCAATTCCTAATTCGTAATTCTTAATGTCAGATTCTGATTGAGACCTTTTTCAGCATAGTTGTACTAATGTGATTTAACATGAGTAACTTTTTCAGTTTAGGGTGCTTCCCAAGACACAGTGCGAGCTTTCTCGCTACCTTTGTCATCATTTAGCATGAATCGAGCCTGTACTCCAGGACCAATGGACAGTTTTGACTGGTACTCATAAATATCATAATCTATGGCATAATCTTCTTCTTTGTTTAAAATCAGGGTGAATTTTGTACACAACTCACGTTGCTTGTGCTTGTCAAAGTTATCTTGGTTACTGGTGTAGAATCCCACCCATGAGGCGCCAAACTCTTTTTTCCAACCCGTGAAAGACTTTTCAATGTAGAGCCGAGCACAAGCGTAACCATCTTTGGTATAAAGTTGCAGACTAGCACTGTAGCCCTTTATTTCAGTGGGTAGAACTCTGTTGGCCTCATCGAACTCCGAGCCATTTAAGAAGGGAGTGTGGCGATTAATGCCATTAACGGTATCGTACTTTACGAGCCGAAGCTGAAGCCCGGGATTCAGAGGAATTGTAGTCGGCGATGCTCCGGATTTAGGAACCGGTGAATTTACCTTCACAAGAGCATTCTCCGAGTCAGCGTTTTTATAAAGACCTATGTAGGCAATTGTGTTCAAGATTTTATCAGGTATTCCCTCCCAGGTTATTTTTGCATAACCTTTTTCTGTCGATTTTATGTCTAGTTTTACCTCTGTGTATAAATTACATTTGGTTTCAAGATTAACAGCCGTGCGCTTGGGTCTGCCTGAAAAGTTACGGATTATACAGTCAATTTCTCCATCACCAAATTTATAGCCAAGCTCTGTTAGATATTGTAGAAGATCATGAATCTCCTGGATCTCCTGTATCAGTTTAGGAGCAATCTCAATGGTCTGATCAGGATCAAAGGTGTTTTTCTTTAAATGGTGTGCAGTAAGAAACATGCGGCTTAGTTCACTGTCTCTAGAGAGAGAGACAATGAGCCTGTCCATATTTCTGCGTGGATCAGTTATCTGGTAAAAATCATGCATCACATATGGATCCAGCTGAGAACTCCCTTTTGAATTTAAATTACCCATAGAGAAATAACCACTGCTGGGATCAGGGAGAATCTTCTCATGATTTTTAAAGGAATGAAAGCCATAATCACCTCGGCGAGGGTCGACATTCTTGTACAAGTGGAGATTTTTCTCGAAGATTTTATGGGCTGCAAAGTACAGGAGTTTGCATCCATGTCGTGGATAGCAAAAGGAATCAGCAACATTCTTCAACTCTGCAATACTCTTAAATATTCTGGGAGATGCGACGTTCTCGTCCCAGGTGAAACAGAGGAAAAAGCAGCAGAGGATGGTTTTCCATTTCATGGTGAGTCCTGTAAAATTACACAACTTGTTAAAATAAACAAATTGCTTGAACAGTTTCACTAAATAATACTCATGACTTTATTTAGTCGAATTTTGTGCAGTGCGACAGGAGTCTTTAGCAGCTGGTTTGATTTGCTAGTGGACGACTGCCAGACTGAATCCAAGTTTGAACACTTAATCGAAACCACACAAAAAAAAATTTATTGGTTTAAGACGAAATAAAGCCAATTGAAAATTTGGCATTATTATATATATGTATATATGAATAAAGCAGAACATCACTAACGTTCGACACACAATATGGCCAAAAGTATTGGGACACCCTTCCTAATTATTGAGTTCAGGTGTTTCAGCCACACTCATTGATAACAGGTATATAAAATCATCAAAACACTGATAGACAACCACTGGCAGTAGACTGGATCAGATTGAAGAGCTCAGTGACTTTAAATTGTGACACTGTCATAGGATGTCATCTCTGCCACAAGTCAGTTTGTGAAGTTTCTGTCCTGCTAAATCTGCCCCAGACAACTGTAAATGCTATGATTGTGAAATGGAAGTGTCTCAGCGCAACAACAGCTCAGCCATGAAGAGGTAGACGATACAAACTCACTGAGTGCTGAAGGGTGTAGCGCATAAAAAATGCTGTTCCTCTGTTTCATCACTCACTACAGAGCTCCAAGCTGCTATTCTGGAGGCAACATCAGCACAAGATCTGTGCATCTGGAGCTTCATAAAATGGGTTTCCATGACAGAGCAGCCACTCAGATTGCTGCGCCAATGGACTGTGGAGACGTGTTCTCTGGAGTGATGGATCATAGGGAAAATGGATTGAGGCTGTTTTTCAGGGTTTGGGCCTCTTAGTTCCACTGAAGGGTGATGTTGATGCTACAGCACACAAAGACATTTTAGACTGTTATATGCTTCCAGCTTTGTCAGCAGTTTGGGGAAGACCCTTTCCTGTTCCAGCATGAATGAGCCCATTCATGGAGTGACCAGTTTGGTGTGGAGGAACTCCAGTGGCCTGCACAGAGCCCTGACCACAACCCCGCTAAACACCTTTGGGATGAACTAGAACGGAGATTGTGAGCCAGGCCCTCTCGTCCAACATCAGTGCCTGACCTCAGAAATGCTCTTTTGACTGAATGGGCACAAATTCCCATAGACAAGCTTGATCTTCCTAGCATTCCTAGAAGAGTGGATGCTGTTAGAGCCACAAAGGTGGGGGGTTCATAAAGGGGTGATCATCAGTTGTCCACACACTTTTGGCCATATAGTGTATGTTAATGGATTTTTTTAAATGATAAACATTTTCTGCTAAACTGACCTGCTCATTGTTGCCATCTGCTGTTGTTTTCCAGCACTGCTGCTGGAATACCCCTGCCCTTCACAATGTATTATGTTTTCTTCCCCCTAACCACACTGCAAATATTCTGTCTGATCTAGAAACAAAATGTATTTACTCAATATTAACAAGCATGTGGACTTTATTATTTGTGATTAAACACACCTCTCAGCCAGTCACAATCGTCTCAGTGTGTTTCTTCTTCTGTCAGGTGCAGGAAGGACTCCTCAGAACAAGCCTTCTGTGAAAACAGCGGTGGCAGTAAATTAGTCAGAATTATTAAGAGTAAGAAAAGGTGGAAAGGTGTATAATGGCTGACACATGCTGTCGTGATTACCTGGAGGATGGAGCTGTTTTTATTTCGTTCTTGAACCTGAACAAGTTTTGAATTCAATTCTGCGGAAGACCCCATGGCTATTAAGAAACTATTGACAGACTCACCCTGAATTTAAGGTAAGCTTAACTTCATCCGGCTTACTTTGTTTGCTAAAATTATTTTAGTGTGATGTTGTTGCAGAAAAATGTTAAGATCAGTTATCCAACTACAATGGATCAATTTCCAAAAAAATCTTTTGTAATGCAAGGTTTTGGCTATCAAGTCACTTCAACTTCCCAATTATAACATTGGTTTTAGAATAGTCTCCATAATAAATGAAATGTGTTCTTTAGCAACATTGTCAGATATCTCTTTAGTCAGTTATCTTTGTAACTTAAATGTCTTTATATTGACCACAATATGTATTTTTTGTCCACTTTTGTATTTAAACCTAGCAATGAAATAATGTATACATAAAGTCCATTCAACAAGATGTATGTGAGAAAAAATGCAATATTTTAAATGTAAAACACTATTGGAACAGAATAAAGCTGACAAAGCTGACAGGCCGGTAGGTAAAAAAAAATGTGGTAACAATTAGACTAACTAGTTTTATTTAATGTAGTTATGTTATAACTGAAGTTTGGGGGGAGGAGCATGGCTGAAACCCCTCCTTCTTACAATCTAACGCCCTATAAATTCACATCCTCACCTTCCATTCCCGTGACGACGTGTTCACAATCCCCTCCGCCACCCCATCTCCTCCCCGTTCCTCGGTCCTACATCAGTCCTACTACAGCTATGAGGGGGTCCAGCCTTCTAACTATAGGCAGAAGCTGCCCAGAACTCCAGCCCAAGTTGTCAGGTCTTCCCCCTGCCCTCAATCAGTCTGCCCTCATACTACCACCACCACCACCATCATGTTGAAGGAATGGTCTGAACTCACAAAAGCTAAATAAATACTTTGAATGAACAGTTGTTTCAAAACAAAAGTATTTCTTTGAGTTGAATAAAACTAGTTCAGTTCCTTGTTACCACATGAAGGTATTTTTGAACTGACAAATCATTCTTCACAAAAAAAAAACCTCTTAAAAAATGTACAATTTTGAATTTTGTGATTAATAGATCAACAGAAACCAGGTTATACTGTTTTTGTAATATTTCCTTCTTTTTTAAAGTTACCATTTTGGAGATACAAGGTTTTGTTTCGATGGCAACAATATGGGTGCACATCAGCCCCCTCTGCTCTATCCATCATTGGTCAGTTTCTGACCACACGACCAATGTTGTCCAGATGTTATTTGGGTGGTGGATTATTCTCAGCCCAGCAGTGACACTGACGTGGTAGTATGTGTGTTGCTGGTACAAGCAGTGTTTACACACGTCAGTGTCGTTGCTATTATTATGTTTATTAAGATTTTATTCTAATAACATTTAAGTACTTTGTCTTTATGTTTTTTATTTAGCGGTTTGAATTATGAATGAAACGTGCTATTTAAATTAACTTGCTTTGCTTGAGAATGGACCACCATCCAAAACCGACGTGTCTGATACACTCATACAAGCACCACACACTCCAACACACCATGACCGTTTTGGTGTCCCTGATGTGCTGAGAATGATCCACCAACCAAATGATATCAGGTGGTCCCATGATAGTTCTATTCCAGTGACGAACGAGGCATTGAGAGACTGATGAATTGTGCATTTTGTTGAATTGTACAGTTTGCAACTGTTTCTGATAAAAATGGCAAATAAGTGTGTTATGTGGCGTTTCCATTATTTTGTACACCACTTGTGCATCTTTGGTCATTTGGAGAAAATTTTTGTAAGTTTTTAAATCAGCAATTGTTCAGTGTGTTATCATTGTCACACATACACTATATTTCCAAAAGTATTCACTCAACCATCCAAATCATTGAATTCAGGTGTTCCAATCACTTCCATGGCCACAGGTGTATAAAACCGAGCACCCTAGGCCTGCAGACTGCTTCTACAGACATTAGTGAAAGAATGTGTCGCTCTCAGGAGCTCAGTGAGTTCCAGCGTGGTACCGTGATAGGATGCCACCTGTGCAACAAGTCCAATCGTGAAATTTCCTCACTACTAAATATTCCACAGTCGACTGTCAGTGGTATTATAACAAAGTGGAAGCGATTGGGAACGACAGCAACTCAGCCACGAAGTGGTCGGCCACGTAAAATGACAGAGCGGGGTCAGCGGATGCTGAGGCGCATAGTGCGCAGAGGTCGCCAACTTTCTGCAGAGTCAATCACTACAGACCTCCAAACTTCATGTGGCCTTCAGATTAGCTCAAGAACAGTGTAGAGAGCTTCATGGAATGGGTTTCAAACACCTGGAAGACCATAACAACAACCTAGCAACCCCCAAAGGGATATCATTAAAACCGCCTAGCAGCCACCTGGGATAGCATAAACACTTGAAAATAGCAAACACAACCAAATGACCACAGTCTAGTGATCACCTGCAACACCACAGTAACCACCTACCAACACCCTAGCAACACCATAGCAACTGCGTTTGATACCATAATAACCACCTAGCAATCACCAGACACACCATGGTAACACATAACCTACAAGCATGACAATCTAGAAACCACCTTGGCCCCCACAGCAACCACCAAGACCTGTTTTATTATTTTATTGTCTTATTGTTTGAATGTCATAATGTTTTATTGTTCATCACTGTTTTATTGTCACACAACTCTTTTATCATATCAAACCATATGATAATGACAGTTTTCTGCCAGATGTATTTTGTCCCAGTCCTCAAGAAATCACTCGTGTATGACTTGCATGTTAAAATCAAACGTAAAACAAGTTGTACTCTTTTTAAGAAAAGAAATATAACTCTTCTAATAGCTTGTGCACTATGGATATGAAAGAGTAGGGATCAGTTTCACTCACCTCTCCTCGTCGCAGTTCCTCTCAAAAGACACCCTCGCCAGTGTCCACCTTTTATTGCCAGGTTTAATCAGATATCGGTAATGACAAGCCACAAAGGAATAACTGAATAGTTGGCTGACTGATAAAGGCATTTGAATGTGTACATATTCAGTATAGTATTAGAGCCTTGAGATCACCATGAGAGGATGGCTGATAATTTGGGTACAACAACAGATGCAGGCTACACTCTGTCACTGTACACTTATATGGTGGACCTATGGGCCAGAATATGCTGCTGCTGTGCTGCTTTGTCTGATCCACTCGTACCGGCACAACACAAACTAACACACTACCACCAACAACACCACGTCAGTGTTACTGCAGGGCTGAGAATGATCCACCACCTGCTCTGTGAGGGTCCTTGGGGGTCCTGACCACTGAAGAACAGGGTAAAAGGGGGCTAACAAAGTATCAGAGAAACAGATGGACTACAGTCTGTAACTGTAGAACTACAAAGTGCACCTATATAGTAAGTGGAGCTGATAAAATGGACAATGAGCGTAGAAACAAGGAGGTGGACCTTATGAAGTCGCTGGTTGGTGTATATTTCTTTAGTCTAGTTCTTTAGTTTAGTTTGTTCCGTCTATATGCCTGTTTAAATGGTAGCAAGTGAGCGATAGCATATCAAAGTCACGTCATTTGTACAGTGCTAACAAGAGCAAACTTGGGCTTTCCAATCCACATGTTGGCTTAGGAATATCATGCTGTTGCACATTCAGCTTTAAACAGGACTAAAAGGATTATTTGATCAAATCCAAGTCCAATGTTCTTCTCATTTAGGCAGAGATAATTAATTCAGTTCATTCAGTAGTGAGTTAGAGTGGTTGATACACTAAACCGGCAACGTATCTGCCCATCCCCGAGGCAGAAGTTAGCTTTATGACAGATAATCTAGTTTCAAATATGAGCTAGTCCTGGTTTTAAAGCGGTCTTCCCTCAGCTCGTCGACCAGATTTCACGTCCATGAGTTTAAAGTATGAATATGCTGCGATCGCGCTCGTTTTCTCAGGGTGCGGCAGGCCGAGTGAGACGCTGTCCTTGATATTTCATTAAAAAAAAGTAAATAAAGTCCCTGTAAACGTCTTAAAATCAGTCATATGAAAACGCTGCTTAGGCTACAAAAGGTAGCTTTCAGAATTACAGTTTAAATCAGAAGTTACTGTTACTAATTACTATTGGGGCAGGTGTTTCACTGGCGCAGCTTCAAACCTAAAGGGCTGTTTTTCAGTCATTAGGGTCTACCGTCAACCTAACAATCAGTGGCAATTCATTGTCATCAGATTCAAAAATGACTTTATAAATCTGAAGAATCGGAACTGCCGATTTTCGATATTCAAGCCAATCACAGCATTCATCTATTACAACAGTCTTCACTGCTGTCCACCAGTGATGTCATGACACATTTTTGAGGTTCTAAAGAGAAACAGCAGGCTTTTCCATCCAATTGAATGTGTTTGTCACTTTTAAAAGACAGCTTAACTCACATTTTAGTAGCAAAAAATATGAAATTTCTCCTTAAAAGTATAGAATAAGAGGGAGGGACTTGCTTGGGCCTAAGACAAAAAGCACAAATACTGGATGTTTTTGGACTTAAGTTAAACAGGGGATGCTAAGGGAAATATCTGAGTATATCTGCTCAGGTGGTGGAGCTATACGTCTCTGTCTTCCTTCTCTAAATAATGCTTGAAAGGCTGTTTTGTCACTGAAATCCAAAATGACTGGTTTAGCCTCATTCTTATCTGCGTGTGAGGAAAGTTTGACGTTAATCTTTGTCCATATTGTGTTTTTTCAGCTCATGGTCTTTTAATTCACACAAGTGCATGACTGTAAAGGTCACTTCTAGCATTGCCAACATTTGCAAGCATTTGCATAGCAGTTAAATTCTGGCCATGACCAGTTCAAGGTCTTTCTTCTCTCAGCTCATTCAAATGTTCTTATAGGTGTTATACATACGAGTGTGTGCTGACTGTATCGGTTTTCATCCTCTGTGTATTCTCATCATTATGGCTTTAAAGGCCACCACATGCCAGTTGTATTGTCACTCTTGTGAGCATTAAGAAGGGAATAGTGTTGCACCTAAAACCAGTTTTGCTGCGTTCTCAAAACCAGTCTTTGGTGCCCACCACCAAGGCCGCAGTGTTGCTCTGTCCCAGCTCCCAGCACATCTGAACCAAACCATTTAGGTCATGGTGTTTTACCTTTGCTGAGGTTCCATGGTCGTGACTGAAAACAGGTTTTAGAAATTCTGGTGGGTTGCCGAGTGTCATCACAGCAAGAGCCAATACTGGGCTAAGCTACACAGTGACATCGAGGCCAGAGCATGTTGATTTTGTGAGATCACATTTAAACTGGCTCATAACTTGCACTAAATTGTAGGTTTTCCATCACACATTTCCTTATTTCTCAAACCAGTGTGACACTGGGAGCTGGGTCAGACAGCCTGGTGGGCCCCTGAGGACGTGTCTGAGAAACACCACCGTAAACTACCTAACAAACAAACAAAAACAAAATTTAGTAACTGAAATTTGGAAGTGCAATAATGCATTTGTCTACACATATTTTACTATGTAATCATGCACTGTTTAGTTTTAATGTGTTTTTTTTTGGTTTTTTTTTGTAATCATTGCTTTGAGAGTTTCTGTTGCAGGGACAGGGTTTTAGGCTGGTTCACTTGGCAGGAGTAAAACCAAATAGAAAACAGCTGCCTGAACAAACAGCCATGCACACTGGACTTGTTTGCTAGAATTCTTTCCTCTGCATACCATGAAAACACTGCTGTTATCCTTGTTAGCAAACACTGCATCATAAGAGTCTCAGTGATGAAGTTATTCAAGGCACAATGAATCCCCAGCTGTCATTTAACAGCTATTCTCTGAATCGATCAGACTGTAGATTAGGACTCATTTTTTATACATATTTCTTGCATCGATCACAGTTGGCTAAAGATCTTTATTAGTGTAATTAGCAGATTTGGTACAGAACTCAGGCCTTCCAGGAAAGGTCCAGAAAACTGACCCTTTAGGTTGCAGAACCTCAAAATCAGGTAGACTATCAAAAGTATTTGTTGCCATTTACATTTAGCCACAGTATTAATATGTTAGATGATAGGTTGGATGAATTATTGCATGCAGCTAACTTGCTTACCAAAATGTAGCTGAGCTGTATTAAAAATGAAATTATGGCAGCTTTCAGAAATCTGATCAAGCTTGTTTTTGGTTCTTAGTGCCACTTCAGTCAAGAAGAGCACAAATAATTCCTGCCAATTTTCCTTCAAACAGTTTCAACATTAAGGCTTGCTGGTGAAGATAAAATACACAGCCGAAAGTATGTGGACACCTGACATGAGCTTGACACCACACCTATAAGAGCTTTTAATATAGGGCCTCCTGGTGAGGCACCGATATTGGTGGTCCTGTCTGTGCGTTTTCTTGGTCTACCTCTTAAAAAGGGCACATTTCACTGTGTTGTTCATGCTGTAAAAAGAAACAAATGACAAATGTCTTCAAGTAATATCATTTGCTTCTCACAAAAAAGGCAAAAGGTGCCATTCAGTTGACTACTACTACAACAAGGACCAAAAGGTTCTGGTAAAGGTTTTTCTTTTCAGAACCATGAATACAAGCCAGGAACCTTTTAGGAATCTACAGGTGATGCAATGAATGACTGTCCTTGTTAAGAAGGTCCTGATTAGAATACATGTTTGGAGAAATGACCCAGTTCCTTTTTGATTTCATGGCTTTTTTCTGTAACAGTCATTATAAGCTATACTAAGACAAAAGCTCTTATTACTGTGCCCTCCTCCTTTTCTGAGAATATCTAAAAGATGTATTTTCTAATTAGAAATTAGAGGAAAGAAAGCAAATAGATATTTATGAAGTAGTGCTCTACTAATCATCTAAGCGTGGGCATTTTATTTGCAATTGAACTAGGCTTGTTGCATTTTAACTTTAAATACTGACAGAAGGTGGAAGAATAAAAAAAATTTTATCCCATCCATCATCAACAAAGACGTGACTCTTCAACATTGACTAACAGTCCCTTTAATTCTTCATTTATTTCTTTACATCTAAATTGCTCCAGTTTTGCATGCCCAACTTGTGTTTTTCAATACCTGTCTGCTCATCTCACAGATCTAGTGGAACCCTTTATTGTCGCAGGAACTGCAATAACAGTAACCTTATCTATCCCCCACAGTCATCACAATCTCAGACCAGGGTGGCAAGTGGGCCAACCCACAGATAGCAGACTTCATTTGAGCCGTAACATCTCTCCATTCACTGCACTTCCTGGCCTTGACAGAGCCTTGAATCACCCCCAAGAACTCAGCGACTTAAGCGGCCTTGTCCTCTGCCTCTTCCTTTCTCCTAGACGGACTGGCAGGCGTGGTGGCACAGGTTTGCCTTTGTCCAGAAAGTGGCCTTTCACTCCACTTGCTTTTTCTCATCTTTCAATTTCCTCCTTCAAGTACCATGCCATCACTGTATCTTTCCAAACTAAACTTAGTCCTCCCTCTCCTCCAGGCAACTTCATTGAGGAGTTAGATATTCTTCTGAGTCTCTTCCCCATCAATGGAGCCCCACTCATACTCTTAGGTGACTTCAACCTTCCATGGGACAAGCTGCAGTCATCCTGCCTCTTACCACCACTGTCATCCTTTGACCTCACCTGTGCATCAGAGGAGACTGGTTGAAGAGCAGGCAACATTCTGGACCTGATCTTCAGCAGACCTATCCCAGCACTGGATATCACAGTAATCCCCTTTCACTGCTCTGATCACCACTTTCTATCTTTCACACTCTCCCTCCCTGCTACTTCTGTCCATACCACCCCTTCATGCTCTTCTTTTTTTCCGGTGCAGCCTGCACTTCTTTTCTCCCTTGTCTCTTGTTTCAACTATCCTAACTACCCTTCCCCACCCTTACTCATTTTCTTCTGTCCCTGGACACAGCTACAGATGTTTTCCTTTCTTCATTCTCATCTGCAA